AGCAGCTGCTGCACTCACATGTTCAAAGATTCAAGTCCATCCGCAGAAGGTGGGTGATCTATTAACGATACGTCTCAATATTCTTTATGTTCAAGTGTTTACGTCCATTCGCAGAAGCTGTTGTCAGTAGTGTCTATCCGCCTCTTATCCAATTGTGTTTTCTTTCCCACGTACATTGGACGATAATTCGTTTGCAAGCTGTAAGCCCCCCCCCCCCCCCCCCCCCCCCCCCCCCCTGCTCCTCCCCCTCCCTCTCCCCCCCCCCCCACCCTCCCCCCCCCTCTCCCCCCACCACGTCCCTCTCCCTTTTGGCTGATACAGCCTCATATGTAACCCACTATCTTCTCCTCCCTCCAGGATTTTTTCATCTTATTTGATTTTCCAGCTCTCCCACCATACCCAGGACAACTTATCAGTATTACTTGTTTTCTTTCCTCTCCTATTGCAGTCATCAAGAGAAATTTATCGACCGAGCCAGGAAATGTTTGAAACAACTGGAAGAGATATTAATTCCATCAGTAGGCCATGCACAATTTCCTTCTCCTGTGCTCCCGTCCATTGACGACTCGTATGTTATGCGCCAATTAGGGATAGCCAGCCACTTAAAGTAGGGCACAAGCGCAAGGACCGTTATCTTGCTTAAATAGTAAATTACTCGTATTCTGTGCGCTGATTTGGTATAGGCAGCTGTCTGGGGATGGTATAGATAAGGGACAGCCAACCACATGGTGCAGGATGCTTCTTTTATTCAATAAGCAGACAGCCGTTTTAGCGTGTAGCATTTGAGAGTTAAGGTGTAGCAGTCGGCAACTTACAACACCCCCAGATTTGGCGTGTGGTCTGCCCGTGCGATGACAGGAATCGCAGCTTGCAACGGCAGAACAAGTCCCTCGGTCATTTTGCATTTCTTTCCAAATCTCTACCACTGTAGCTTACAGTGTGCGTGGTGGAGAATGCTGCTGGCTTCCAGACAAAAGGTGTCGTACAGAGTTTGTGCCCCCAGTTTGAACCAGCCATCACGAACCACCTTGCCAGAGAAGTCGTCCGTAGTTTCAAGGGCAGATGTGGGGCATTTTTGTTCAGGTCACAAGACCAGAGCAAGGTACAGCACATGTACTGTCGATTGTTTCACCAATCATATTGGGGAAAGTATGCCAATGGTAACATACATGGGGCTCTTTAACGCGTACAGTAACTATTACAGTACATTTTCACGCGTTTGGTAACTCGTTTCACGCAATTGGTAACTTAGCACAGGCGAATGATCACGCGAATGGTAACTAGATGAAACTCCCGCCGAAATGATCCTGACTAAAAGGAATTTGTTAAATTGAAAGATTTCACGGACCGTTTTATCGATATTGAACGATTCCCGCCGTGACTTTGAAGGATTGCGTTTGTTCAATTACCACGGACCAAATAGTTTCAGAGTAGATTCATATCTATTTTAAGCTCGGAAATATAGTACTTACAAGTACAATTATATTTTTGCAAGCATGATTGCATAATTGCAAAATGGGAAAAATTCCCCGGAAAGGCGACAATAATTTTATTTAAAAAATGTGTAATTAATGCAACGTGGGATAATTTTGGAGGTGGGAAAATAATACCCTTCCGAATGGCATGCCTTTATTGTAGAAATAACCTTGAACGCCTTGTCGCAAGGAGTTTAGGGTTGATGCTCTCAAAATCATTTGCCATCCGAAAGGGGTATATATTTTTGCCCCGTTTGTACGATAGAATTAAGTGAAATTGAATTTCCGCGAGCGCCAGAATATCCGCATTATATTATAAACGGTTTTCAAAACAGCGACTTTTCACGAAATAGTTCGGAATTCGGAAAGTGTGTCAGAATTTCGGAAAGTGTGTCAGAATTTCGGAAAGTGTGTCAGAATTTCGTGCTTCAGGACTCGTCAATTCAGTCTGGCGCGAGCGGGAAAAACCAGAATCAGGGTCAAGTTTGACGAGGGTTTCTTCTAGTTACCATTCGCGTGATGGCTTGCCAGTGTATAGTTACCAAATGCGTGAATCGAGTTACCAAACGCGTGAAAATTCATTGTTATGGTTACCGTACGTGTTATAGAGCCCCATGTATGTTACCATTCGCATATTTTCCCATCATATTGAGAAGCTCGCGGCGCCTGCTCTGCCCCAATGCTCTGCCCTGATGTTCGTTTAGAGGATAGCGCGGTTCGAACCGTTTTAATACTATGAATGGATAATGGTTTTTATTTTCCACCGCTTTGGACAATTCCGCACACCGACGCCTACCAGGTCAGACCCACTCTTAGCCCCGAAGGATGGGTTGCGTTGAGTCTGCCTTGGTACGGAATGTGACTGGCTGGGGCAGGTAAACGTGACGTGAGCGGCATTGACGATGGATGGAATGTGCGAAGACCACGCATTTTCGACCACTTGGTTTGTCAAACACCGACAAACCGAGCCAAACCCGTAGAAGGGCTTTCGTTTCGTATCAACCACACGAACAAGCGGATGTCGAATGTGTTCGGTGTGAATAACCACTGCTGTACAGTTTGAACTGTGCTCGTAACAAGTGGTTCAGTACGCGCCGTGAACTGTACTGTTCTCTGAAACGTTTCACCTTCTGGTACCGTTATTTACCTTTACACAACACAGCCTGGGTGGAACCCGAGCCGAGCCGAGCCACCCACCAAACGCTACGAACAAGGAATCTAGAAATCATCAAATTGTCAACCCAATGAATCTGTACTGTACAGTACCGTGGAGTTGTCATGCCTTGGAATTGTCATCGTCACCATCAGCAAGCATGGCTTTGGTTTGGATGTAGGAATCATAATCACTCATTCACATTCTCCCACAAGCATCAAAGCTCAGGACAAGCCACATTAGCCAGTTCATGCCATCTGTCGTCCACACTGTCGAGTCGAGACACACCCGCTAGGACAAGCCCTACAGCGACGATTAATCAGCCAAACGTCTGATACGGTATCGTCGTCAGGGGAACTCGTTCCGCTATGGTTCGCACCGCGCTAGAATCGATACGGTTTTTTTGTTCTCGTGTTTGGTAACCCTGAAGCAGTGTTCTCATCCATCGTTGGTCTTAGAGTGTTCTTAGCCGACTATGCTACAACCAGAGCTCCTTCTGGGGCGCCTGAAGAGTTTTTGAGTGACTTTCAAACCCTAAACTTCAAGTTGAAGTTGGTGTTTCGCCAGTTGTTGGTCTTTGAGTGACCCTGACTCGCGTTCTTCCGCTACAACCGGGCTACTAACCGAAGCCCCGCTTTTCCCGCGCTATGGTCAGCGCCACAGGATCGACAATCGTGCTTCGAGATATCAAAACACCGCCGTCCCAGGAGCCGTGCCGCGACGGCGGGGCAAGATTGAACTTCACGGGAAGCGCGTTTGACGGCGGATTTCGCGGCACGTACGCCTCAGAGGAAGCGTATTTGTCTACTAAGAGCGGCCTGCCGCTGGGGTGTAGACAACAAGAGGCCTTGCTCATGTTTCACAACCATCAACAGCCGCCGCCGCCGCCGCCGCTGCTGGCGGTGCATCCGCCGCAGCAGCCACATCTCACCGCAGCGCAACAGGAAATCGCTTCGCAGAACCAGATAAGGAGCTTCCTATTCACGGCGGCGGCGGGGGCGGCAGCGGCGCCCGCCGTCCCGCCGGTTCCTCCGCCGGTTGGCGGAAGCCGCCGCGCAGGCCTTCCTTTTTTTTCCCCTGTCGCGAGCGTAGATGCTCCCGGTTCGTCAGCTGCCTACGACGACGCGGCGCCGACTGGCGGCGGCGGCGGATTTGGCGGAATTTTCGGCGCCCCAGCGGCGGCGGCGGCAGCGGCGACGCCGCCCCTGTGGAAAACCCGCGCAACTGGCGGCGTCCTCAGTGCAACAGTCGGTAGATCTGCGGGGAAGCAAAGCGCAGAGGATTTGCGCGGGGAATGGGGCGGAGCGGAGGATGGGGGATACGGGGACGGGGACGGGGACGGGGAGGGGGAGGGGGGAGGGGGAGGGTGAGGCAGAGGGGCAGCAGCAGAAAGCGAGCACGAATGCCAAAGGGCAATGGACTCCGGTGAGAAGGGGTGGAATGCGGGAAGGCGGGGTTTTGAGCGGTGAGCGGAGGGATTAAAGTGCTGTAGGAAGGGTTGGATTGATTTAGGGAGGAGGAGTGCAGTGGGGGTGGAAACGGTATGGCAGGGTGGAATGTGGCGAGGGAGAATGGAACTTGGTGAGGGAGTGGGATGTAATATGCATGTTATGAGAACATATGAATGCGCCTTAAACAGAAACTGAGAAGTCGAGTCTGAGGCAGGATCTTACAGTGTGGTGCGTGAGAGAGAGGGAGAGTTGGAAGAGAGTTTGCGAGAGGGAAAATGTGAGAGGAAGAGCGTTAGCCAGTCAGTAAACCGTTTGGCCTCACAACCTACTTGTTTTATACCTAGACATGCACCTCAAAGAGGAGGATGTTTCGACAGGCTCTGTAATTGGACCCAGGGCCTGAGCAATTGACAGATAGTGAACCGCTTACCGTCAAAACCTAATCCCGTCGAGCCATGCATCCATAACAGGAGGAGGATGCTTTGCTGCGCCAGCTGGTGGAGAGGGGCGGAGCCAAGGGGTGGACGGCCATAGCAGCGATAAAATCTGCCCTATCCACAATTCCTCATTTCGTTCCATCCATGACAGGAGGAGGATGCATTGCTGCGTCAGCTGGTGGAGAGGGGCGGAGCCAAGGGGTGGACGTGGACGACCATAGCAGCACATTTCAATGATCCACCTTTTTGTCCCTTGGCGCTGATACCCATATCCTTTATTTGCTACATCCATCCATCCATAACAGGAGGAGGATGCTTTGTTGCGTCAGCTGGTGGAGAGGGGCGGAGCCAAGGGGTGGACGGTGATAGCAGCGCATTTGAATGGCCGAGCGGGGAAGCAGTGCCGGGAGCGGTGGCACAACCATCTGAAGAGGGGCATAAAAAAGGTGATTATAACGAGGATAATTGGGTGATGAGAGTGGTGATGAGGGTGATGTTATCGGGATTGAATGGAGGAGTGAGCCAAGGGGTGGACGGCCATAGCATCAACAGGTGCACTATGAATGGGCGGGCGCGCGGGGAAGCCGCAGTGTTGGGAGCAGTGGCACAACCATCTGAAGAGGGGCATAAAGAAGGTGATTCTAATGGGTAATTGGGATGATAAGGGATGTGGTACTAACGGGAATGAGGGAGTGAGCCATAGCAAGAGGCCTGGATAGAGCAGGAGGAGCGAGCTTTTGCGAAGGCTCACAAGCGGCTGGGCAACAGATGGGCTGAAATCGCAAGGTTACTACCAGGGAGGACCGACAACAGCGTAAAGAACCACTGGAACTCAACAGCCCAGCTCAGCCTTGTTATGCTCCCCGTTCTTTCCCATTTCTCCCCACTCAACAGCCCAGCTCAGCTCAGCCTTTTATATGCTCCCCGTTCTTTCCCATTCCTCCTGCGTTTCCGGCCTGGTTTGCTTGGCGATCGCAGGAAGCGTGGACGGAGGAGGAAGAGCGGGCTTTCGTGGAGGCTCACAAGCGGCTGGGCAACAGATGGGCTGAAATCGCAAGGTTATTACCAGGAAGAACAGACAACAGTGTGAAGAATCACTGGAACTCAACAGCCCGGCGGAAGGAGGAGATGGGGCGAGGAGGGGCAGAGGGCAAGGGAAACGGAAGGCCAGGCAGTGCCGGGAGTGGTGGTAGTGCTGGGAGTGGTGGGAGTATGGGTGGTGGTGGTGGTGGTGGTGCAGGGAGTGTGGGCAGGGGGGGGTATAGTGGGCGATCGAACGTGCTCCTGCGGTACATCCAGTCGCTGAAGCAGGGGGGGCGGAGCGAGAGCGGAGGGGGAGAGAGCAGAGGAGGGGAGGGCGGAGGGGGGGAGAGCAGAGGGGGGGATGTGGGGAGCAGAGAGAGGGAGAGAGGGAGCAGAGTGGGAGAGCAGCAGAGCAGCAGAGGGGGAAGGAGCGAGAACAAAAGGGGGGAGAGGGAGAGGAGTAATGGGAAAGAGGGCGATGAGGAAATCAGAAGCGTTGGTAAAGGAAGGAGGGAGAGGAGAGAGGAGGGGAGAAGGAGGGAAGGAGGAGAGAGTGTGGGGGAATGGAGTGAGAGGGGGAGAGTGAGAACATTGGACGATGGAGACATGGAGGCTTTTGATTTCTCTCAGAAAACCACTGGAGACATGGCGGTGGTGGTTGACATGGTGTCAAGTGGAGACATGGCGATGGTGGTTGACAAGACTCATAAGTCAAGTGGAGGCATGGAGGTAGATGGCTTTGGGGGAAGGGGATTGGAGCAATATCGAGGAGAGTTTAGGGCACAGCCACTTTCGCTACAGCCGGCAATTCTACAGCCGGACATACTACAAGTAGCAACACTGCAGCAGCAAAGCATGATACAGCCGGCAGGGCTACATCCGGCAGGGCTACAGCCGGCAGGGCTACAGCCGGCAGGGCTACATCCGGCAGGGCTACAGCCGGCAGGGCTACAGCCGGCAACGGTACAGCCAGCCACACAACAAGCAGCTGCCTTCGCATCTCAGAATTATAGTGTGAAGATGGAATTAACGGGGGAGGAGAGAGTGGAGAAGCGAGAAGAGGAGGAGGAGGGAGAGGAGAGAGCATGCAACGATGTGGAATGGAGAATGAAGGGGATGCATCTGGGGTTGTCAGCATCGATACCAGCAGCAGCAGAACGAGCAGCAGCAGCAGCAGCACCAGCACCAGCACCAGCACCAGCAGCAGCAGCAGCAGCAGCAGCAGCAGCAGCAGCAGCAGCAGCAGCAGCAGCAGCAGCAGCAGCAGCAGCAGCAGCAGCAGCAGCAGCACTGCCACTTGTTGCTAACATCACTAATTGGGCCTCGCATCAACCAATGCAGGTAGCAGGTGAAGAGCCTCAACGAACAGCAGCAGCAGCAGCAGCCAACACCCCGTTCCCGCATTTTCCTCCACCTTCTCACCAATCCCAGCATCCTCTCAGCTACCAATCAAATAGGAATGTGTTCCCCCATCCCTCCTCACCGCTTCCTTCCTCCACAGTCCTTCCTCCCTCATCATTCCTTCCTCCCTCCTCACCTCTTCCTCCCCATGCATCCCCTCCCTCAACTTTAACTCCTGCTCCTCTCTTCCCACTGGCCCAACATTCAACAATACACCAGTCCACTAACTATAATCATTCCCCCACACCACACTCACCTCCTCCTGCTCTCTCTCTCTCCCTCGCCCACACTGCCCCTAATCCCTCTCATCCTCACCAGCCGCCCCCCCCGTTTCCCCCACCATCTAATTCTCACCTCCCCTCATCCTCGTTCTCACTCTCCCCCTTTTCGTCGCCTCAAAAGTCAACTTTTCCTCCACCGTCTAACCCTGACCTCCCCCCATCTTCTTCATTCTCACTCTCATCCTTCAAGTCAGCTCAAGCTTCACCCCCGCTTCCCCCACTGTCTAACTCTCACCTTCCCTTATCTCATTCACTCTCACTCTCCTCCTTTAAGCCAATTCAAAATTCACCCCCGCTTCCCCCACCGTCTACCTCTCACCTCCCCTTATCTCATTCACTCTCACTCTCCTCCTTTGAGCAGACTCAGAAGTCAACCCCTCCTGAGCCATCCACCTCTCACCTCCCCCTATCCACTCTCTCGCTCTCCCTTTTCGAACCCACGCATACTTCAGCTTTCTCTCCCTCTTTAAAAGGAGAGCAGGTGTACATAACACCAAAACAGGAGCCAGCACAAGAGGCAAATCTCGAGAATCCCCAAACTGCGGCAAAACAAATGCCACGCATCGAAGTTTCTCGGGATACGCTGCATTGTCCTGTGGAGGCACAGGTGGCAGCACGAACATCACAGGAGGGAACAGGAGAGGCGTGTTTTCAACATCCTCAGAGCAAGCCTGCAGCAACAACCCCAGAGGCAGGACCTGCATTAGCCCGGGAAGCATCTTCTGAGAATCCTCATAATCCTCAAAATTCTCCCAATCCTCTGAATTTTCATAATCCTCAGAATCCTCAGAATCCTCATAATGCGCCTGCAACAGTCCGGGAGGCAGCACACAAAGCGCACAACCGGTCCCTGTTAGCGTCACGGCTGATGCGATCGCTGGGAGCAAAGAGGGCCAGGAGGCAGAGTGAAGGAGGGGTGGAGCAGAGGCAGCAGCAGCAGCAGCAGCAGCAGCAGCAGCAGCAGCAGCAGCAGCAGCAGCAGCAGCAGCAGCAGCAGCAGCAGCAGCAGCAGCAGCAGCAGCAGCAGCAGCAGCAGCAGCAGCAGCAGCAGCAGCAGCAGCAGCAGCAGCAGCAGCAGAAGCAGCAACACAGGACAACAGAAGCGTATCCAAACAGCCATTCTTCACAGGACATCCCAACCAATCCCCACAACAGCAATCTCACTGATCCTTCTCGAAACATTTCAGCTGACCCGCAACCTGCCCCAAAAAGACGGTGCCTGCTCCAGCGCAGTGTGGCTGGGCCGCTACCTGGTGCTCCTGTAGCTGCTGTGGGTGGCACGTTCCTGCTGGTTGGCGAACTGAGCCTCACTCTTTCGTCCTCTTGCCTGATGCCGATTTCTGCCGGACAGGAAATATTGGGAGACGATCCTGTAAAGATTCAGGAAGCACCATTGGTGGTTGGAACAGGGAGTGGGTTGGGGAGAGAGTGTAAGAAGGGAGGGATTTAGGGGGAGAGAGTGGAAGAAGGAAGGGGATGAGGTGGAGAGAGTGGAATAGGGAGGGAGGAGAGCGAGTTAGAGAGTGGAGTAGGGAGGGAGTGAGAGGGAAAATCGAGAGGATGAATCATTCAGTCAGGGAGATTTCAAGGTCACAGGCAGGAAGCTATGGGTGGATAATATGGAAGTCTATCTGATATTATATAAAGAAGTTATGGATTTATAAGTTTACAGTGTGCAGTAAGTAGCGCCTGTTATACTATACACTATACTAAGCTAGTGCCTTGTGGTTCTAGGAATGTATGCTGGCCTGTTTATTGCATATGAAACGCCATTTCCCACTGTATATACACAGCTGTGCTGCTGAGACTGCTTGATACTTCGAGCTTGTAGTGATTGATTGCGATGCACAACCTGGTTTGCGGGTTCGTAACAGCTTCTTCTTTAATTCGTGCAGATTCGCGGAGCCTTAGTTTGCGCGTCTCTGCGAGTTGCGAATGTTAGCATCGCATGACTTTGTTAGTCTCAAGTAACTTGTAGAAGAGTGTCCAGCTACATACGGGAGCAAGTGCCCTTCTGGCAATCCCTAGATGCGGCTCGTCGGCAAGTCTTCTTGAGGTTGACATGCAACATACAGATCTTCTCTTCTCAGTCAGCCAGAATCCACAAGTCTACCCAAGACTTCACTCCAACGCATCAGGTGACTATATTCACATTACCTGATTGGCAGATCAGATTATATATCTTCTCCATCAAACCAACCCAGATCCTAAGTGCCAGCAATGGACATTCCTAGAACCTAGTTAGTGCGAAAGGCGAGTCGCGTCAGACGACTGCTCGAAACGCTTTACCATGGAATGCGCCTTCGGAGTAAATGACGTTCATAACATTGGTAGATTCGTTTCACGCAAACATGTTATTTCCACGTTTTGCGGCGCTGAATGAGTGCTGATAGACATTTTGCTTCCCAATGCAGCCGGCGAACAACCAGAAATAATCGGATCCGACCTTGTTGATACCCTAAAAGCACCAAATATCCCAGGAAAACTCGGTTTCCTGTTTATCAATAACTTGTCAGCTCGGGTCCTTTGCTGTTAAGTTGATCCGCAGTCCAGATTAAGCGTGGTGTATGCTCACTATGTCCGAAAGATTTTTTATCGCTGAACCCAAGAATCCGTAGCTGTTTCGTAGCTGCGTCGGCCATTGTCGCTAGTCCGTATATGGTCCGAGCGACGGTGGTTCGCATTTAGCCGCACACAGCGGACGTGGTCGGCTACTATTCGCACCGTCACGGTCCGTCGTAGCCAGATATAAGCATCCGTTACAGTACATTGACGTTTTGAGACGTCGCAAAAACTAATTCGTAACCTCACGGTCCGTCGTAGCCAAGAAATATGGTCTGTCACAGTACGATCGCGGCTCGTGTGACCATGACCCTCCTCCACGTGTCGATTGTGATCCCTCTACTTCTCATGACCGATGCGCTCCCCGCACGATTCGTCAGAGCAGCGGTCCCGGTTCAGCCCTCCGAGGAAGATCCGTACTTGGAGGCCGTCCGAACCTTGTACCAGGTATGCTTGTACCGCGGATCTGCGTCACAGCCTGTAGCAAGCATTTGTGAGCGAAGAAACCTGCAACCTCGGTCAGCCCATAATCTATCTCCTCGGTCAGCCCATAATCTATCTCCTCGGTCAGTCCCTACTCCCCAGTGTTCCCCATCCCAGCCGTTCTTCCCCTTCACCCCCTCCCTCTCCCCCCCCTCACTCCACCCAACTCACTCATACTTCCTAGACAGAAGGAGCCTCCTCTTATCGCACCCGCCGTTTGATCCCTTTTAACATAGAGGGGATCCGCAACCCCCTCCATCTCTTTTCTCCCTGATGTTCTCCTCCACTCTAATCCTCCTCCTCTTGTCCCCCCGGACAAAATCACCCCTCCCTCCTCCCGCAACCAGCACTGGGACAGCGCCTACGGGCTGCAGGCGGAGAATACATTCCCCCCTTCCGCCATCTCGCTTCCCCCGGACGTCCCCCCCGCGCCTCACCTGGAGGACTGTGAGGCGCGCACAGTCTTCCGCCTGTCCACGGAGAAATGGGGGAAGCGGGGGGAGCCGCCCTTCTGGGCTGTACCCAACCCTGCATGCGGCAACGTCCCCCAACCCCCCTGGGTGAGAGCCCGGTCCGTCTGGTCATTGCTGGGGGAATGTCGTCTGCCTATTCTTAAAAAGACGGTGGAAGCGCGGGGGGGCGCCCTTCTGGGCTGTACCCAACCCCCCTGCATGCGGCAATGTGCCCCAACCTCCCTGGGTGAGAGTTGCATCCTGTGCGGTGCGGTGCAGTGCGGTGCTGGGCTGTGCTTTAGTTGTCTGTTACATCATTCTGCATGTTGGCCGTGCGTTCCATTTGTTATTTTCAGCATTGCTTTAGGGAAACAATAAGGGTATCGGGTAAGCTGTTTTTCTGTCCTATCTGCCGCTCCTCACTTCGGAACAGCGCACTGGGTACCTTGCAGCACTGCCAACCCACCACCCCTCTTCTTAACCCACCACCTCTCTTCCCTGCCCACCACCCCTCCTGCAGATCCGAGGCTCCGACGCTGGCAACCTGGCAGCCACCCGGCAAGCACAAGCAGACATATGGCGACAGCAGTTCCCGCCCAGGCAGTGCAAGGGGCGGCGGGTGATGCTGGTGGAGTGGCTGAGCATGGGGTGGCACGGGATAGGGTCGCAGCTGCATGTGATGGGCGCTGTGCTGAGTGCCGCCTTGGTGCACAACAGGACTCTCGTGCTCATGCCTGGCACGCTGCCCCAGGCGGACCACGAGGAATGCGAGAGTGAGTGGGAGTGAGTAAACGAGCTAGTTAGTCATTCTATCAGTCAGTCAGTGAGTGAGTGAAACTCTTAAAGCGCATGAGAAATTTCCTCCCATAGTGCATCCGAAGTTACATCCGAAGTGCATAGAGTTGTGCCTCCTCCCGTTTGCCTCTTCTCAGAACTGGGTCACCAGGGGTCGCTCGACCGCTACTTCTTCCGCTTCTTGTCCCAGGAGTGTGAGGAGGTCGCTCTGAAATCGCCCCCCCCCGCCCCTCCCCCCTCCTCCCAAACATACCTACCCACGCTGCTGACTCGTATTGCGTTGCAAGTGATCCACTTCGCCTTTGCCTTCTCTCAGACCTCGGCCGCAGGGGGTCGCTTGAGTTTTACTTATTCCGCTTCTCGTCCACAGAGTGTGAGGAGGTCGCTCGCTCTCAAGGCGCATCCCTATGCACGCACTCGCACACACTCGCACACACTCGCACGCACTCGCACACACTCGCACACACTCGCACACACTCGCACGCACTCGCACACACTCACACACACTCGCACACACTCGCACACACTCGCACACACTCGCACACACTCGCACGCACTCGCACGCACTCGCACACACTCGCACACACTCGCACACACTCGCACGCACTCGCACGCACTCGCACACACTCGCAGGCACTGGGGGTCGCTCGACTGCTACTTCTAGTTTTGAGGCGCCTCAAAACTAGGCGCCTCAAAACGCAGGCACTCGCAGGCACACATATCTGACTTGTATGCACGTGCGTTCCCCTTGCCCTCTGCCTAAGCAGGGCTGGGCCACCGGGGGTCGCTCGAATGCTACTTCTTCCGGCTCTCGTCCCAGCAGTGTGAGGAGATTGCTCTCAAGGCACAAACCCTCGTCAACGTGTGTTCCCCTTGCCCTCTTCCCTCTCAGAGTTGGGCCACCGGGGGTCGCTCGAATGCTACTTCTTCCGGCTCTCGTCCCAGCAGTGTGAGGAGATTGCTCTCAAGGCACAAACCCTCATCAACGTGTGTTCCCCTTGCCCTCTTCCCTCTCAGAGTTGGGCCACCGGGGGTCGCTTGACTGCTACTTCCTCCGCTTCTCCTCCCAGGAGTGTGAGGAGATTGCTGCGAAGGGCCATCGCCACGCACACACATATCTGACTTGTATTGTATTGCACGTGTACTCCTATTGCCCTCCGCCCTTCCAGAGCTGGGCCACCGGGGGTCTCTCGACTGCTACTTCTTCCGGTTCTCCTCCCAGGAGTGTGAGGAGATCGCTCTCAAGGCACATCAGGCCTGGAGGGATGCTGAGGAGAGGAAACGGCAGGCTGCTGCCGAGGAAAAGGAGAGAGAAGAGAAGGAGAGGGAAGAAAAGGAGAAGGAAGGAAAGGAGAAGGAAGAAAAGGAGAAGGAAGGAAAGGAGAAGGAAGAAAAGGAGAAGGAAGGAAAGGAGAAGAAAGAAAAGGAGAAGGAAGGAAAGGAGAGGGAAGAAAATGAGAAGGAAGAGGAGCAAGGAGGAGGAGGAGGTGGCGGTAAGGGAGGAGAGGGAGATTCCAAGGAGGAGGGAGGGGGGCACGTTGGAAATGGTGTCGGGAGGAGGCTCCTGCAAGAAGCAATCAAGAATGGTAGTGCTGATGTATCAGATTCTGATACAGCTGATGGCACTGGCAGTGATGATTCTGGTGATTTTAACGAGGAGCTCAAAGGAGATGTGACAAGCGAGGATGTGATTGTAGCAGAGCCGTGCGACGGTGTGTGGTGTCTGGGCTCGGATGCTCTGGTGATCTTCCCAGCAACGCCAGGGTTTGGGGTGGATGGAGGGTCGAACTTCATTTCCCAGCTCAATGTGTCCGCTGCAGAGTGAGTGAGTGTGTGTGAGATTACAACGAATCCATGTGTGACCATGTGTGTTCTTTGGGTTTGGATTCTCTGATGTGATCTTTCCAGCGAACCTGGGGTTTGGTGTGGATGGGGGGTCCAACTTCATCTCCTAGCTCAATGTGTCCGCTGCAGAGTGAGTGAGTGTATGTGTGATTACAACGAATCCATGTGTGACCATGTGTGTTCTTTGGGTTTGGATTCTCTGATGTGATCGTTCCAGCGAACCCGGGGTTTGGTGTGGATGGATGGAGGGTCGAACTTCATCTCCCAGCTCAACGTGTGAGTGGCGCATCTGTGGGGGGAGGGGGCGGTAGGATGGAAGGTTAGAGCGCACTTTTCAAGAATGTCAGGGTTTCATGTGGTGTGGATGGAGGGTCCAACTTCATCTCCCAGCTCAACGTGTGAGTGGCGCATCTGTGGGGGGAGGGGGCGGTAGGATGGAAGGTTAGAGCGCACTTTTCAAGAATGTCAGGGTTTCATGTGGTGTGGATGGAGGGTCCAACTTCATCTCCCAGCTCAACGTGTGAGTGGCGCATCTGTGGGGGGAGGGGGCGGTAGGATGGAAGGTTAGAGCGCACTTTTCAAGAATGTCAGGGTTTCATGTGGTGTGGATGGAGGGTCCAACTTCATCTCCCAGCTCAACGTGCCCGCTGCAGGCAGAGTGAGTGATTTAGGGTTTTAGAACAAAGGAATGATGCATGTGCAACTGTGTGATTATAACGAGTTCGTGTGACCATGAGAGGTCCCTGGGCTCGGATGCTCTAGTGACCTTCTTCCCAGCGACCCCGGGGATTGGTGTGGATGGGGGGTCAAACTTCATCTCCCAGCTAAACGCTCCAGCCGCAGAGTGAGTGACGCATGTGTTTAACCAGGTCTTTCGTGTGTGTGTATCCAAAGCGCCCTCTCTCCCCTCTCTCAAACGAGGTGATGGGGCATATGAGTACGCTACGCTCCCACTCCTATACCCTCCTCGCAACGCAACCCCCCCTCCTCCCGTTTCAGGGATTTTTTTAGAACTCTATAAAAATCCCTGCAACGAGGTGATGGGGCATATGAGTACGCTCACACTCACACATAGGAGGGGTCTTTCTCCCACTCCTATCCCCTTCTCGCGACCCCCCCTCCTCCCCTTTCCACTGCGCAGCCTCTGGGGGAATGCGTATCTGAAGAGCCCTCTGCCCAAAGAGGTGATGGGGTGTATGAGCACGCTCACACACACCAAGGGGTGTACCTGAGGACCGAGGTGATGGGGTGTATGAGCAAGCAGTCCGAGTTCCTCTGGGGGAATGCGTATCTGAAGAGCGAGGTGATGGGGCGTATGAGCAGGCTCACACACACCAGGAGGCCATCTCCCACTCTGATCCCCTCCTCACGTCTCCCCCACTTCCCCTCTCTTATCTTCAGCCTCTGGGGAAAGGCGTATCTGAGGAGCCCTCTGCCCAACGAGGTGATGGGGCGTATGAGCAAGCAGTCCGAGTTTCTCAAGAAGGTGAGCAGTGTTGCTACACAAGGGAAGGAGCACACTTGAGCAGAGCAGCCGTCTCCTCTGCACCCTCTGCCCAACGAGGTGATGGGGCGTAAAGCAAGCAGTCCGAGTTCCTCAAGAAGGTGAGCTGCCTCTTGAGTCGCTCAATACGTGGTGTCTTTTGAGTCGACTCAAAAATTTCCAACGAGGTGATGGGGCGTATGAACAAGCAGTCCGAGTTTCTCAAGAAGGTGAGCAGTTTTGCTACACAAGGGAAGGAGCACACTTGAGCAGAGCAGCCGTCTCCTCTGCACCCTCTGCCGAACGAGATCATGGGGCGTATGATCAAGCGGTCCGAGTTCCTCGAGAAGCTGAGCTGCCTTTTGGGCCGCCTCAATACGTGGTGTCTTTTGGTTCGCCTCAATACGTGGTGTCTTTTGTCTCGCCTCAATACGTGGTGTCTTTTGGTTCGCCTCAATACGTGGTGTCTTTTGGTTCGCCTCTCAGCTCGGTGGGGCAAAGGGAGAGAAAGTGGTCCCTGACTGAAGAAAGAGAGTCAGGGAGGCGGGTGACTAGGTAGTAAAGGGTGATGTACATGGGGGGGGGGTTCTTGGCACAGAACTCAGTGGGAAGGGCAGCGCGGTAGCGGGCGTCACTAGTGCGAAGGTGAGCAACTAGGTCAGCGACAGTGGCAAAGGCAGCAAGGTCAGGGAAAAGGTACGGTAGCATGAGGCGGCTGAGGGCAGCAGTGGCAGGGGAGGAGTAGCGTGCAACTACAGCGTCGTACAGAGCCCTAGCACTCTTGTACTGACTAAAGTGCGCGCGCTCAGTAGACGGCAGGTGGTTGCGCACAGCAAGACGAGCAGCAGCATCGCGCGTGAGCCACTGCGAGCGAACAGTACTGTCAGCATCAGCAGTAGGGGCAGTAGAGGCGCCAGAAGTGAGATCGAACAGTGAGAGACCATCCTTGCTATCGCACTGTAGGAAAAGCTGCAGATCATCTAGCCAGACCTCAAAGTCAACAGCCCGACCCTCAGCATCAAAGGTAAGAACATTGAGACTAGCCATGACAGGAGAAGCAGCAGGCTAGCAGTAGCAGCAGTGGAACTCGGCTAAGCAGGCTAGGTAGGGCGGCGCAGCTCGGCAGGGCGGTGTGGCTCGGCAGCGCGGCGCTCTTACCAGGGGAGAGGCTGGGGCAGGGCCGGGGTAGGGCCGGGGCAGTCCAGGAGCAGGGCCGGGGCAGGGCCGGGGCAGTTCAGGAGCAGGGCCGGGGCAGGGCCGGGGCAGTTCAGGAGCAGGGCCGCTCGGGTTGAGTCGACACAAGTCACCTCGGGTTGAGTCAACTCACAAGTGACCTCGGGTTGAGTCGACTAACCAGTCGCCTCGGGTTGAGTCGACTCACAAGTCACCTCGGGTTGAGTCGACTCACAAGTCACCTCGGGTTGAGCCGAAAGGCACCACGTATTGAGGCGAGACAAAAGACACCACGTATTGAGCCGAACCAAAAGGCACCACGTATTGAGGCAAACCAAAAGGCACCACGTATTGAGCCGAACCAAAAGGCACCACGTATTGAGGCAAACCAAAAGGGCGTTACCACTCGCGACATTCGCCTCGACACCATTCCCGCCACTGTTCACGATGCGACCCAACCTCACGGTTCGGTTGGTAACCCGCGCTCCGGACCTCCGCCTCGACAGTTCCCCAACCTCGGCACCAGGCCCGTCGCGCACCCCAATTCCCCACGTTACCGTTACCACCGTAGTTTTGCTATATATTCTTCGCTCATTCCTTTGCTCATTGTATTTGTTGTCTCGATAGTGCAATCCTCGCTCGCTCACTCAATTGCACTCGTAACACTTGGTTATCAGAGCCTACGATCTTCTCTCGGACCGCACCCACACCTTCGCTTCCCCACTATCAATTTTTTTTGGGGGGGGGTAGACGTCTCTCAGCGATCAAGCACCGCTGCTCGTAGTGCTCTCTCGTAAGCACGCACGGCCACGACAGAGGCTCTCGCTGAGCTTGCCCGACACCCCCGCCATGGCAGAACTCAACGTCGCGACACTGACGCAGGAGCAACTAGATCGACTCATGCGCCAACTCGAAGAATCGGCGCTTGTAATCGCCACACTCACGGCGGAACGCGACTCCGCCCACCAACAATCGACGGTGAACGCACCAGCACCAACACATGCACCTACACATTCGGAGGAGCCGATTGTCATCTCCTCCGGTACACCGACACAGAATGACAGCGTGGGACAGCGCTCAGGCGCAGCCAGTGAGGGTGCCGCTCACTCGATGCCTGGCATGGAGAGGAACAGGACCGCACCAAGCCCACGGGAGCCCCGCGAGTCCCGTCGGCACGTGGAATTTGCGGCGACAAGTGGCGAATATGCCGTCACGGCACCAATGCCACTCAAGCCACAGCGTCCGCCCTGTTTCGACCCGAGCCAACGTGGGGGTCCGACGGTTCAGTCGTGGGTCTTCACGATGAACGTGTTTTTCGACGCCAATTACGTCGAGTCGGACGCAGCGAAGATTCGCTACGCTGTTTCGCTGCTGAGGGGCCCTACCATGGACTGGTGGCGAGTCATCGTGACGTCGCCACGCGCCTACGAGCCACCGTCGCAAGAAGACGGGCCCACTGGCCCAGCCGTCACCTGGAGTTCATTCTGCGAGACAGCCCAGTACAGCACGTGGGATACGTGGTGCGCAGGGCTTCGGGTGCGTTTCGAGCCGATTGCGGCTTCGATTTCGGCACGTCAGAAGCTGCGCACTTGGCGGCAGCTCGGGTCGGTTCAAGATTACACTAGCGGCTTTCTCGCACTATGCGAACAAGTCGGCTATATGCACGAAGCGGAGCGGGTGGACCGTTACGTTGGAGGGCTAAAGCCAGACATATCGCACGAAATTATGCTACGCGGGCTCTCGAATTTTAATGAGATCCTCGCGCTCGCCGAGAAAATCGACATCCTACGACGACCGAGACCGGGGTCCTACTACGGAAAACGTCCTCGGGGACCGATCGAGCACGCCACCGTACACGCCGTTGCGATGAATGCAGCTGCCGTGCCATTTAAGGGGCGCTGCTTTGCTTGCAATAGGCCGGGCCATCGCAAGAGCGAATGCCCAGAGGAGCTAAGGCGCCGTGGAACAAAGTAGGGGAAAGATTCTCAGAGGCCGGGAAACGCCAGCAGTCAGTAGAAGTTGGGCCAACTACTGACGAGACTGCCTGCTCGCCCAACTTCACCGACCCTCACCGAGTCACAGTACCAATTCACGCTATCGATCGGGCTCGGACGAATAAGGAGGGTACAGCGGCGGATTGCCCAGTACTGATTCACGGGAAAATACAGGGAGCAGCAGTGAAGATTTTTATAAACGGAGGTGCAAGTCACAGCTTCGTTAATACTGCGACTGCAAGGAAGCTGCAACTGACACTTAGTCGGTGCTTACCAGAGGTCGACGCACGCTTAGTTGACGGAACGCCACTGGCCATACGGGAAAAAGTGGAAAGAGTAAAAGTCCGCTGTGGGGGGAATTTCGGGTTTACACAGGAAATGCTCGCGACGACATTGGATGGGCACGACATTTTACTGGGACGTGATTGGCTGCGACGATACAACCCGCGAATCGACTGGACGACAGGCAGCTGCACTGTGCGAAGTAGTGCTAACCGGGTGGAGCTACCTCGCTGGCAGTCGCCTGAGTCTTCAACAGTCCACGTCAACGCCATCACGATGAAACGGGCTGTCGCCACTGGAGCTGACGTGTACGCGGTGGATATCGCGATAGTGGAAGAAGCGGACGAACCGAGTGATTTTCAGAAACTACTGGAAGCAGTACCATCGGAACTATAGGACCTGTTGAAACGATTCCCGGGGATCTTCCCCGATGACTTACCCGAGGGACTGCCACCTCAGCGGGCGCACGATCACCGAATAGAGTTAGAGCCCGGGGCACAGCCAACCATACAACGACAGTTCAGACTGACACAGCCCGAGCTCGACGAGCTAAGGAAGCAGTTAGATTACCTGTTAGAGAAAAAAATCATCTGCCCGAGCTCTTCGCCATTCGCCGCACCGATCCTGTTCACACCGAAAAAGGACGGTGGGTTTCGCATGTGTATCGACTACCGAGAATTGAACAGGGTTACCGTTAAATCGCGATACCCCATCCCCCGCGCTGACGAACTGATAGATCAACTACGAACAGCATGAGTCTTTTCGAAAATCGACTTACGGGGAGGTTACCACCAGATTAGGGTCGAACCGTCGGACTGTGCCAAGACAGCTTTTAGGACTAGGTACGGGTCGTTTGAATACACGGTGATGCCTTTCGGGCTGACCAACGCGCCGGCGACTTTCCATATGACAATGAACGAAGCGTTTAGACCACTCTTAGATAAATGTGTGATCATCTACCTCGACGACATCCTAGTCTACAGTCGGGATAAGCAACTGCCAGAATGTTATGTTTGTCTAGCCTACAGTGGGGTACTCAATAGTGAGTACAGACCAATCTAGGGTTTGCTATATGTACTCAACTGCCTGCTAGTGAAACCACTCTTCTCTGTTTCATTCATTCGCTAACATTCTAACATGGAATCAGAGCAGGTCGACCCCCCCGGGTCGATCCTGTGGATGGGCCCACCCAATGCTTCCGCTGCTGACCTGTCTGTCGCGCGCCCCGTGGCGCGCGACGTTTTTTCTTCCCGCCACGCGCTCCGAGCGCGTGGCAGTTTTCTGCCTGCCGTGCGCCCCGGGGCGCGCGGCGGTTTTCTGCCCGCCGTGCGCCCCGTGGCGCGCGGCGGTTTGCCTTCTCACGCGGCGCCCTGGGGGCCCGCGAGCTGCCCTGCACGTCGCCCGTCGCGGAGCCCTGTGGGCCCGTGCGTCGCCCCCCCCCCCATCCCGTAGCCCGTCGCGGCACCCCGGGGGGGCTAGGGCGCGGCCCTCCCGTCGCCCGTCGTGACGCCATCGGGGACCCGCGTGCCCCCCCCCCCTTCCGTCGCCCGACGTGGTGTCCTCGGGGGACCGCGCGCGGCCCCCTTCCGTCGTCAGTCGCGGCGCCCAGGGGGGCCGCGCTTTGCCCCCCCCCCCCCCCCCCCCCCCCCGTCGCCCGTCGCGGCGACCTGGGGGGCCGCGCGTCACCCCCCCCCCCCCCTGTCGCCCGTCGTGGCGCCCTGCCCTGCAGCTGCCCTTTCCCGGCCCTGTCCTGCCCCGGCCCTGTCGTGGCCCTGCCCCCCCCCCTCCCCCCCCCCTAACCTCCCTACCCGCCACCTACGGCCCTGCCCTGTGTTAGGGTTTGGGGGTGGCGAGTAGGGGGTGGCGGGTGTGCGGCCTCCCCTGCTCCTCCTCCTCCTCCGTCTCCCACTGCTGCAGCTGCCGCTTAGGGGGGTGGGTGTGTGGGAGCCGATGGAGTGGTGCTAGGAGGTGGAGTGTGAGTGAACCTAGGGGTGCAGCAGGGGGTGTGTGAAAGGGGGGTGCGACAGTGGGGGAGGTTGAAGGGAGGTAGCCGTCGTGTCGTCAGCAGCGCCAGTAGTCCGGAGGTGCGCCTCCGGTAGCCCAGCGAGCCTGCTGCGCCAGTCGCCCGTGGGTCCGTTGCTCCTGCCGCTCGTCTTAGCCGCGGAGCCAGCTACCCCTGTAGTCCGGAGGTGCGCTTTCGGTAGCCACAGTGCGCGCCGCTCCTGTTGCCCGTGTGTCTGTAGCTTCAGCCGTTGCCTCCTGTCTCCTTTCCTATCAGTCCAGCCTCCTCCTCCTCACTTGCCCTCTGTGATAGCCTCTAGCTTTACTTATTACTGTGAACTATAAACTGTTGTTTCTTGTACCTGTGCTCAGAATGTGTGGTGACATTGTGATCCACCCTGAGCTTGTTTTTGCTTTGCTTTTTGTGCTGATTACACCCCACTTTGGCTATGGGGGTGTGTCAGAATGTTATGTTTGTCTAGCCTGCAGTGGGGTACTCAAAAGTGAGTACAGCCCAATCTAGGGTTTGCTATATGTACTCAACTGCCTGCTAGTGAAACCACTCTTCTCTGTTTCATTCATTCGCTCACATTCTAACAGCAACAGCACTCAGCCGATTTAGAAGAAGTATTTACAGTTTTAGACAAACACAGACTACTGACCAAGGGTTCCAAGTGCGAGTTTTTTTCAGGACTGGCTAGAGTTTTGGGGGCACGTTATTTCGGAGGCTGGAGTAGAAATCGACCCCAAAAAGTTGGACACGGTAAAAGCGTGGCACCCCCCGATGAACATCACGGAACCACAGAGTTTTTTAGGGTTCGTAAATTACGTGCGCCGGTTTGTCCCCGACATGGCACGCTTAACTGCTCCGCTAACGGATTTACTGCGGAACGGGGTCACTTTTACGTGGGGGGAGAAAGAGCATGTTGCCTTCTCTACCCTGAAAAATGTTCTCTGTTCACCGCCCGTCCTGCGCATCGCCGACCCACACCGCCCATTCGAAGTGGTTACCGATGCAAGCGACATCGCCATTGGAGCCGTACTGCTACAGGACTTTGGCAACGGGTTACAGCCCATCGCATACGAATCACGAAGGTTGCATCCGCCCGAGAAGAATTATCCGATACACGATCGCGAAATGCTTGCGATCGTGCATGCGTTCAAAGTATGGCGCTGTTACTTGACCGGCGCCGACGTGACAGTACGGACAGATCACAAGTCACTACAGTACCTCCGCGCACAACCCCACCTCAACCCACGACAAATCCGCTGGCTCGATTACCTCGAGTCGAATTTTCACTACATGGTCACCTACAAAAAAGGGGCATCGAACATCGCCGACGCATTAAGCCGACCCACAGCCCAAGTTCACGCCATACTACTCGCCCAGACCAGCCCACTGTTAACAGGCCTATTTACCCACGGTTACCAGACTGATCCATTTTTTACAGGCGGAAAATCGCAGCAGTTTGCAGCAGCAAGAGATGTCTATTACGTAAAAGTCGGCACTGATCGCATCTGGGTACCAGGTTACACACTTCTACGGGAATTACTATTACAGGAGGCACACGACGGAGTTACCTCAGGGCATTTCGGAGTAGAGAAAACACGGCATCAGCTATAATGGTACTACTACTGGCCCGAAATGTTGACCGACGTGCAACGACACGTGGCATCGTGTCCCACCTGCCAGGTCATGAAATCATCACGGAAGCGGCCGGCAGGGCAATTGCAGCCGATACCACCCCCAGAGCGTGCTTGGCAGCAGGTGACGATGGACTTCGTCACGGGGTTACCGGCAGGTGCAAGTGGGAACGACGCGATCCTGGTCGTCGTCGATCGATTGACGAAAATGGCACACTTCGCAGCCTGCAAAAAATCAATCACAGCCGAAGAAACGGCCTGCCTCTTCATCGCAACCATTTTTCGATTACACGGGATACCAGCAGCGATCATCAGCGACCGCGATACGAAGTTTACCAGCAATTTCTGGCGGAACCTGTGGCAGCAGTTCGGCACGAGGATGCAGTTCAGTTCTTCGTACCACCCCGAAACCGACGGACAGACAGAACGGACAAATCAGACCATGGAACAATTAATCCGAGCCACGTGCGACGACCCCACCACCTGGGAACAGCAACTGCCACTAATCGAATTCGCGTACAACAACTCGCCATCCGCCACGACCCAACAGTCACCATTTTACCTGAACCACGGACAAGACCCTACAGTACCCATGACCCTGAATCCCGACAACCCGGTGCCACGAGCGCAACAATTCGCCGAAGTCCTACAGGAAGCACGGACCAGGGCAGCAGACGCAATTAAAAAAGCCAATGTTATCGCTAAGCGCAACACCGACCGCCACCGCAGACCCGTCACTTACCAACCAGACGACTTAGTTCTACTCGACACCCAAAACCTCTGCCTGCCCATGACTCCGAAACTTCGCCCCCGATATTGTGGTCCGTTTCGCATCAGCCACATGATCACACCGGTCACCGCCCACCTCCTCCTCCCCGCTGACTGGTACGTTAGCCCCTCCTTCCACGTCAGCCTACTTCGCCCCTACATTCCATCCACCAGCCAACTGGCCCGACATCGCCCAGCCAGCATGACACGACCATCGACCGAGCCAGTCATCACGCCCGAAAAGATTCTGAGCCACCGAGTTCGTGACCCACGAGGAGCCCGAAGGATCGATTTTTTAATACGCTGGAGAGACCGCACGCCCACCGAGGATAACTGGGTTCCCCTGGATAAAATCGAAACCACCCCGTCCTCAACGAGTAGTTGCGTAGCAGAAATTTCCGGGATATGCACGCGCTCTCGTAAGGGAGGCCTCCTTGAGGGGGGGGGGGGTAGTGTAAGGAAAAATCCATTTCCTTACTTCGCGTCACTGCTCAGCGCGTACAACACTGACAGCACCCCACAACATCCCGTTACCACTCGCGACATTCGCCTCGACACCATTCCCGCCACTGTTCACGATGCGACCCAACCTCACGGTTCGGTTGGTAACCCGCGCTCCGGACCTCCGCCTCGACAGTTCCCCAACCTCGGCACCAGGCCCGTCGCGCACCCCAATTCCCCACGTTACCGTTACCACCGTAGTTTCGCTATATATTCTTCGCTCATTCCTTCGCTCATTGTATTTGTTGTCTCGATAGTGCAATCCTCGCTCGCTCACTCAATTGCACTCGTAATAGTTACCCTCAACTGAAGGTTTAGGAGTGAGCTTTGCAACATCAATTGCTCCCGATTTGCGAAAGACGAAATATACCTGCTGGCCCAGAGGACAATAACTTGCCCCTACTTTTAGCCGCGGCGAATTTCACGACAGGCTGCGCGAAGTTTCTAGGGTAACCACTAGACAATTTCCTGTCGCGTCCATCCCAAGAAAATAAGCCTCGAATGGTAAAAATATTGCAATTAGCTCTTCCAGCACCAGCAGATATTCCCGGGAACCGCGCTCCCTCGTGAACACTCCACATTGTCGCTTGCGTTCCGTTCCCCTGTGCCACGATTCGTTTCAAGCGATCGTTTGTTCTCTGATTGAGTTCGGCAGTGAAACGAGGACGGAGAATCGATGCAAGTTCGACGGCTGATAAACAGGCAAGGCCATTCGGAGGAAATCGACGGGCGATAGGCGTCGTTGCGTCCCTGCGATTCTAGAAGTCGTCGATTCGCAGCAAGGATAGATCCTGGCCATGGATCCTACCACGATTGTCAAGGCAGCCAATCCGTGGGTGCCACGTGGACGCGTGGTGGATGAAAAGCAGAAAGTGCTGCGAACCGTACAAGGGTACGTACGGCCGTTAAATTGTACCCGTTATAGGCTGGTGCGAACAATGGACATCAACCCGTCCCCCTTGCCCGATTCCCACTTCCCCTCCGTCCCTGCACCCACTCCTTCCCCTCCCCCCTGGCACTCACTCCTTCCCCCTCGTTTCCCTCTGCAGCATTCGCAACAAGCTCACGCCTGAGATGTTCCATCCGCTTTTTCAGAAGCACCACCCATCCCCGCTTCGCCTTACCCCCCTTTCCCTGCCGCCCCTTCGCCCGTCACCCCCTTCCCGCTTCCCCCTTCCCCAAGGTAGCATTCTGAACAAGCTTACACCTGAGATGCACGACCCGCCTTTCCAACAGCTACTGACCGCGTTTTAGTCGACTCAAGACCCCCTCCCCGTTCCCCCTCCCCTCCCCCCACCCCCACACCCTCTTTCTCCCCTTCCCTTTCTCTCCGCAGCATTCTGAACAAGCTCACACCTGAGATGTTCGAACCACTCTTCCAGCAACTCCTGACAGCTGGCATCAACAGACCTGAGATCCTCCAGGTGAATTCAACAGAGCATGCATGTTTCGTTTCATTTCAGGTGAATTCAACGGAGGAAGTTCATGCCGCCACACCATCTGTTTTTCGTGCTTGTTTCCTCGATACAAGCAAACCTCACTAAAAATTCTGGGCCATTCCCCTCTCGTTCTCCCTATTTTGTGGAATATTTACATGAAACACCCTACCCCCCCACCTGCTTCCTCTCTGTTTGAGTGTATAATTCACGAAATGCTAATCCCCCCTCCTCTCCCCTCCCTGCTCTCCACAACCCCCTTCCCCCTCTCCCCCCTCACTCAGGAGGTGATCTCTCTCATTTTCACCAAGGCAGTAGACGAACCCACCTTCTGCCCGATGTATGCTGCCCTCTGCGAAAAACTTTCGCGAGCGCTGCCCGAGTTTCCGCCGTCCAATGGGGCAGGGGGAGAGGAAGGGGAGCCGATTTCATTTCGCCGTGTTCTGCTGGGCACGTGTCAGGAGGAGTTTGAACGCGCTGCTAAGCAGAGACTGCAGGTGGGATGCGGTGCGGTGCCGTGGGATATGGTGCGGTGGGGTGGGGTAAGGTGGGGAAGGGTGTGGTGGGGTGCGGTGGGGCACGGTGGCAAGTGGTTGCTATGGCTCGAGGAACCTGTGTTCTGCTGGGCACGTGTCAGGAGGAGTTAGAACGCGCTGCTAAGCTGAGACTGCAGGTGGGGTGCGGTGCAGTGGGGTGGTGTGTGGTGGCGAAAGATTGTGAACGAGGGTAATGGCCTGAGTAACCTGTGGTGCTTGCTGGGCAGGTGTGAGGAGGAGTTTGAATGTGCGGCTAAGCTAGAAGCGATTGTCTGGTCTGCCTTCTCCCTTTCTCTCTCCCTCCCTCTCGCTCTTGCCAGGCTGGCGAGTTGCTGGAGTCATTGCAGGAGGGAAGCACGGAAGGGTGCGAGGGAGGAGAGGAGGGAGGAGAAGAGGAGGGAGAAGACGATGGGGAAGAAGGGGAGGGGAAAGGAGGCGAGGGGGGAGACGGGGAGGGGGAAGAAGGGGAGGGGGGAGAAGGGGAAGGAGTAGAGGAGGGGAGAGAAGTGGAGGGAGAAGGGGAATGAGCAAAGACAAGGAGAAGAAGAAGGAGGAGAAGGAGAAATGGAGAGGGAGAGAGGGGAGAAGGGGTGGGAGAAGGCAAGGGAGATGAGGAGGAGAGGGGGAGAGAGGGAGAGAAAGATACAAACGAGGATGATGAAAGGGAGAAGAGGGAGAAGGGGAAAGAGGAGGAGAAGGAGCAGCGGAAAGCCAAGGCTCGGACACTGGGAAACATCAGGCTGATTGGGGAGCTATTTCTTCAGAGAATGATTCCAGAGAGGGTGGTTCATGCGTGTGTGCAGGTGAGTTGGATTGGATGGGTGTGTACAGGTGGGTGGTTTGACTTGACTCTTATGTAAGAGCTGTGTGTGTGCTGCTCACAATCACAAAAGGTTGTTATCTTCAGAGGAGCATGTCGTGTGCATTTCGGCATCCTTGCCCCCTTCCCCCCGACTCCCCCCTCCCCTCGCTTCCCTCCTTCAGGATCTTCTGGGTGATCCTGCTTCCGTCCCCCCTCCCTCCCATCCAGGTAGAGGCTGTATGTGTGCTGCTCACAATAGCAGGGGGGGGTTGTTGGTTTGGTTGGTACACACGTTGTTCTCATGCTCAACCCCTCACCTCCCCCTCACTTCCCTTCCTCCCTCAGGATCTTTTGGGCGATCCTGCGTCCGTCCCTCCTCCCTCCCACGTGGAAGCAGGGTGTGTGCTGCTCACGATAGCAGGGGGGGCGATGGAGAGGAGTGGGAAAGCACCGCTGCTGCTTGAAGGGTATCTTAGGCATGTGAAATACTTAGCTAAGTACAAGGGTACTGAAAAGGATCAGCTGGTCAATGCTTCACAGAACGCACTGAGCCGGTTGTATCTGCAGCAAAATTCCAGGGAGCTTCAGCCACAGCATCAGCAGCAGCAGCAGCATCAGCACCAGCAGCAACAGCAGTTTCCTCTTTCCCCTCCTCCGCTCACTCCTTCCCTGCCGCCCACCCTCCCTCCGCCGCTCTCCTCCCGCCTTCGATTCATGTGCCAAGAGCTTCTTGCTCTTCGGAGGAACGGGTGGGTGCCTCGGAAAGAAGAGGTGACAGCCAAGCCTATTGGACAGGTTTGGGCCGAAGCGGAGGCAGAGCTAGGGTTGGTGGGTGGGGGAGGAGGGAGGGGAGGAGGGAGAGGAGGGAGGGGGAAGGGGAAGAAAAAGGCAGGAGGGAGAGGAGAGGTAGGGATGGGGGGAATGGGGATGCATGGAGGTGTGGGGATGGGAGGTGGGGTGGCAATGGGTGGGGTGAGAATGGGAGGGGTGGGAATGGGAGGGATGGGAATGGGAGGGATGGGAATGGGAGGTGTGGGAATGGGAGGCATGGGAATGGGAGGGATGGGAATGGGAGGGATGGGGATGCAGGGAGGTGTGGGGATGGGAGGAGGGGTGGGGATGGGAGGGATGGGGTGGCATGGAGGTGTTGGGGTAGCAGGAAGCGCAGGAATTCATGCCACACTGCCACCGCCAGCAGCCGTAGTGTCTTCCCCAGTTGTACCTTCCCCAGTTGTACCATCCCCACAACCAGCAGCACCCATAGCAGCAGCAGCAGGAGCGGCAGGCATGGACAGGGAAACCCAGCTCGCAATAGCCATCCTAAAGTCTCTCATCCAAGGACTCAGCACACTGCAAACCAGCATTCCTGCAACACAAGGGCCCAACCTTGTGTCCTTCGGCTCAAACCCTGTAACCCAAGGTTCAAACCCTCCAGCAGGTTCAATCCCACCAGCAGGTTCAAACCCACCAGCCACAGCAGCAGACACTACTCTCCTGCAGCAGTTCGGGCCGAACCTCAGCAGCACCAAGCCGGAGGTATCACGTGTGATCTATGCGGGGGTGGTAACAGCACAGCAGGCTCTGGGTTCCCATCCCCCTCGCGACTATGCTGCTCGGTTCGTGCTGCAGATGATGCGGCATGGGGCCGCCGCTGCTTATGTTGCTGCCGAAGCTGATTCTGCTGAAGCTGATTCTGCCGAAGCTGATTCTGCTGCTGCTGCTGCTGCTGCTGGTGCTGGTGCTGCTGCTGCTGCTGCTGCTGCTGCCACTGCGAAAGCCCCTGCTGTTAATGCATCTCCTGCCGTTCAGTCCTCTTCAGGATGCAACGGCTGCAGTTCGCCGGCGCAACCAGCCAGCCAATCGCAGCAGATGCTCGTACCCATTGGCCAATCAGCTCGCGCCGTTCTCGAGTCAGTGGCGCTGCTACTTGACAGCCTGGCGACAAGAAAAGCTCTGCCCGACGGATCGCTGACAAGTGGCGCGTTGTCATTCGCTCGACTGATTGGGAGAGGCAGCACCAGTCACAGGAGTGAGCTTGTAGCAAACAGTACAGTGATTGTTGCACGTTCCAGTAGTGTAGATGCTACACCATCGAAAGCAGCCGCAGAAACATCAGCAGCAGTGTGGAATTCCCAAGTGCTGGGGGAGTGGCTGGGGCGTTTCGTGGGCCAGGGTCAGATGGGGTTCGGGGTGGTTCAGGAGGCATGCGAAAGGGTTGTATGCGGTTCCTACAGGCGTGTGCTACTGCTGGCTGCCTTGGTGGGAGTCAGAGCATTAGTCGGGCGAAAGTTTATGAGAATAATTAAAGAAGCTGGGGCGAAGGGTGTTCCGAAGATGGGGGTTGGCCCGGGGGAGACTGCAGAGGTAGTTCTCAAAGTGCTGAAAAAAAGGGGTAGATGAGCTATTCATCCCACATCAGGTGCTCACTCTCTGATATTCACCAAACATGTTTTATGATGGTACAATGTGTTGTGCACCTTACTCTAATAATGAGATCATACAGAATTTTGGTATTATTGTTTATGTGTGGTGTGTAGACTCGGTACTGCTAGTGCTCCTTATTGCAATCTAAACAGCAACTATAAGAATTAGAGAAGCCTAATACATCTTCTTTACATGCCAAACCCTTGCCCTCTATGGTAAACCGTCACCAGATCCTACACGTTCAACAGCTAGCCCCTCGTTCGATCCTGACCGTTGGAACAAAAACCCAGATCCCGCCCCCTCATTCGATCCTGACCGTTGAAACAAATATCCAGTCCCACCACCACCACCTGCGGCAGGAGACCCTAGCCTTCTACCACCACCCCAACCCCCATAGTTCCCGGGATTGTCATGCCCCCCGGGACTCCCATGGGAGCTATAATTCCCACCCCCATGATTCCCATAATTCCCTGCATTCCCCAGACTCCCATGTCCTCCGGGACTGCCATATGAAGAAGGATAATTCCCACTTCCATAACTCCCAGCACCATGGTAACCGCTCCCAGGATTCCCGCTCGCTGCTCCCTCAGGAGCAAATGAGCTTGATGAGAGGATTCTCCTTGGGGCAGTTGAGATCAACGGCTGTGATGCCTTGACGGAGAGATCCAACGGCCGTCGGGGGAGTGTCGGGAGAGCAGCAGAGCCGGGGGAGGGACAGAGGGAGGGTGACGAGGGCATGTGCTGAGAGGCAAGGGCAGCCGCTGCTGCAGCGGCAGCAGCAGAACCCCCTGAAGATACACCTCCCCCAAAAGCACCTGAAGGCACACCTGAAGGACCACCTGAGGGAAACTCCAAATATGCACCTGAGGATACACCTGCTGGTGCACCCCCCAGGCTGTGTAGTTCTGGTGATGCAGAGGGGAGTTCTGCTATAGGCGGGAGGAAAGAGGAGGAAGAGGAGGTAGGGGAGGATGGCGTAACCATATAAGCCTGTTGCTGCTGCTGATGGTAGAGAGGCTGCTGCTGCTGCAGCTGCTGCGGCTGCTGCTGTTGATGGTAGAACAGTGGCTGTTGCTGCTGCGGCTGCTGCTGTTGATGGTAGAAGAGTGGCTGTTGCTGCTGCTGCTGAGGGTGGGAAAGCATGTGCTTAGCCCCGGCCCCTGAGGGCGTGGGGGAGAGTGAGCGAGGGGCATCGGCAGTCACAGGCAGCAGGCTGAGTGCTCTCCTCACTGCCGACCCACTTCCACCAGCACCAGTGTGAACCAACTCAGCCTGAGCAGCAGAATCAACCCCTCCTCCATTGGCTGGATAACTCTGGGAGCTGCCAGATCTGATTTCTCCTGCACCTGCCGCTGCAGCTGCTGCTTCTGCTTCAAGAGCACGTGTGCGGTTACCGGGGGAAGGAGTACGGTAATGGAGGAAGGGTCCTCCTACCCCAGAGGACGAAGGGGAGGGGGGGAGAGGGGGTAGACCTGCAGACCTAGGTGAGCCGGATTGGGACGAGGGAGAGTTGGCACGTGGGGGCGTGTTGTAGCGGGGAGGGGTGTTGTAGCGAGGGGGAGTGTTACCACGAGGAGGAACGTTGAGATCTGGGATTTCAGTAGGAGGGAGAAGAATAGAAGGAAGATCTGATGCTGCTGCTGCAACAGAGGATGAAGCACCACCACCACCTGCACCACTGCTCCCCCCACCACCACCGGCAGAAGCCCTACTTTCAGTGGAAGCCAGAGCCTTGTGCAGCTGCAGTGACCGTTTCAGCGATGCAAAGTCGGGTGCATGAACCACCGTGGCCTTCACGTTGTACTTGTCCATTTTAATCATCGGCTGGGCCCCTCTTCCCCTCCCGCCCCCTGCTGCTCCTCCTCCCATACCCCCATCACCACCGCCCAAGCCTGCTGCCAGCATGTCGAATCGCCGCCTGTTCTCGGCCATGCGGGCCTCTTTTGCCTTCTCTGCCTCTCTTGCCCTTTCTGCTTCTCTTTCCTTATCTACCTCTCTTGCCTTATCTGCCTCTCTTTCCTTATTTGCCTGTCTCGCCCTCTCTGCCTCTCTTGCCCTCTCTGCTTCTCTCGCCCTTTCTGCTTCTCTCGCCCTTTCTGCTTCTCTCGCCCTTTCTGCTTCTCTCGCCCTTTCTGCTTCTCTTGCCCTTTCTGCTTCTCTTGCCCTTTCTGATTCTCTGGCCCTTTCTGCTTCTCTCAACCTTTCTGCCGCCCTCTCCATTTCTGCCGCGCTCGCCCTTTCAGCCCCACGCGCCCTCGCTACCTCGCTTTCCTGTGCTGCTGCCTCTCTGCTGCTCCTTTCCTCCTCACTCTCTCCTGTAACCTTAACCTCAATCTTGGTACCAGATGGGGCTTGGTTTGAGCCTGAAGCACCACAGCTGTCCAAGACTCTCCTTGACTGCTGCTGCTGCTGCTGCTGCTGCTGCTGCTGCTGCTGCTGCTGCTGCTGCTGTTGCTGCGTTCGCCTCTGCCATTGCTCCATAATCTGCTCCTCCTGCTGCTTCCTCTCACCTTCCCTCTGCTGCTCCCCAGACTCCCTTTGCCCCGTCTGCTGCAGCTGCCACAGCTGCTGCCACAGCTGCCGTTGCTGCTCCTTCTCATTCTCCTGCTGCTGCTCTTGCTCCTTCTGCTGCTGTGCCTGCTTCCCTACACCGGCCATCTCAACACTCCCGAGACCTTCACCCTTCACAGAAACACCTGCAGCAGCAGTTGCCCGGCCACTGCTGCTTCTGGGACTGCTCTTGCCACTGATATAAGCGCTGCTGGCAGGGCTGCCGCTGCCAGCCTCCGCGTTCAGGCTCCCTTCCATTGACGAGTACAGAGGGTTCATGAAAGCGGGCTTTTGAGTCGATTCTAAAGCAGGATTTTGAGTCGAGTTATAAGCATTGCTGGTAGGGCTGCTGCTGCCAATGCCCGCCTCTCCGTTCAGGCTCCCTTCAACTGATGAGTACAGAGGGTTCATAAAAGTGGTTTTCGTGGCCAAGGAAAACGCACCTGCCTCTGCTCCTCCTCCCGCTCCCAATCCTCCTCCTGTTCCTCCTGTCCCCACTGCTGCTTCTGCTACTCCTCCTACAACCCCTCCCGTTCCATCTCCCCCTCCTCGCCCCGTTTCACCAGCTCCTACAGCTCTAGTAGCTCTCAGCATAGGCACACCCATAGCGCCAGCAGGATCCTTGGCACTGGCGTAACGGGTGGCACCTGTAGCAGCTGTAGCAGCTGTGGCAGCTGTAACAGCTGTAGCAGTTGTAGCGCTGGCTGAAGGAACGGTGGATGTAGCAGTGGCAGCAGGACAGCCAACTAGGATGTTGCGTGGGTTGAAATATGTTGACTTTCCAGGGGATTCGCGGGCAGCAGAAACAGATGCTGAAGCAGAAGCAGAGGCAGAAGCAGAGGCAGACACAGGAGCAGAACCAGCCGAGTCAGAGGCTGCTAGGCTGATGGAAGCCACAGCAGCAGCCGCAGCTGCAGCAGCGGCAGCAGAGGTGGGAGTAGCTGATCTCTGGTAATGCTTCGTTTTCTTGGACGCTGCATTAGTAACAGCATCAGGACCCGCGGCACCCGCAGCACCCGCAGCAGCACCACCAGCCGCCGCCGCAGCAGCACCACCAGCCGCCGCCGCCGCAGCAGCAGCAGCAGCAGCAGCCTCTGCATCATCAACAGCCACTGCAGCAGCAACAACTGCCAGCAACCCCCCTTCGCCTGGCTGCAACTCACCAGCACCACCACCGTTACCACCACCAGCAACACCAGCAGCAGCAGCAGCAGCAGCAGCACGAGTAACACCGGCTCCAGCACCAGCTCCAGCAGCAGCAGCTGCAGCTGGAGCAGAGACAGCAGGCATGCGGCCACTGAACGACATCCTAGACGTGGCTCGCGCACAGGCCGCAGCCACTGCTTCCGCCAGCTCCTCCTGCTGCCTCTGCTGCCGCCGCCTCTGCCTCTCCCCTCCTTTCCCCAGCCCACCGTCCATCCCGCTGCTGCTGCTTGTAGTGCTCTCTGTGCGCTGTACAGGTAGCATGTGTGAGTGGTGGTGCGAGTGCGACCCTCGCTTTCCTTCTCCTCCTCCTCCTCCTCCTCCTCCTCCTCCTCCTCCTCCTCCTCCTCCTCCTCCTCCTCCTCCTCCTCCTCCTCCTCCTCCTCCTCCTCCTCCTCCTCCTCCTCCTCCTTCTCCTCTTCCTCCACCCCCCGCTGTTCCTGGTCCTGCTCCTCCTCCTACCCGAGTCAATTCACCAGCAGCACCAATGGGTAGTGCCCCTGCATGCCCTGCAAGCATCCGCCTCTCCCAATCCCTCAGCTTACTCCCCTCCTCTTCCTCCCCTCCTCCACCCTCCTCTCCTCCTCTCTCCAAATCCCTCCCCCCATCCCCATCCTCCCCATCCGCCCCCTCCCCTCCCTCCAACATCAAATCCGATATCCCATCATCCCACTCCCCATCACTCCCCTCCCCCTCCTCCCCCTCCTCCTCCTCGCTCTCCACACTCTCCTTCTCAGTCGCTTCCCTCTCGCTCTCCGGCCGAACCCGAGTCTGAGTCAACCGATTTGCCCACAGCAGCCACTCCAGCGTCAAGCAACACGAAGCCAGCAGCGCCAGCCACACACCAGCAGTAATGGAGAATCCTGAGGAGGCTTGGATAAGCTGAAGGCCTAGGAAGAGGAGGATGAGGGAGAGGACGAGCGTGGAGCAACCACACACCTTGTGGAATCGCCGCCAGTGGTCCCGAAGGTGGTGAGACTCGGGCGGACGGATTATCACTGCTGAAATCTGCGGGTTAAGGATGGGATTGATGGGTTGGTAGGGTAGGGAGATGGGGAGGGGTGAGATATTTGAAGCCTCCAAGAAGCACCCACAAACCTTGTGGAACCGCCACCAGTGGTCACGCAGGTGGGACTCGGGCGGACGGACAATCACTGCTGAGATCTGGCGGGCAGAGGTGGGGAATAGAATGGAATATCTCAGCGGAAACGGGTCGTCAAGCCTGACGACCTGTTGACGACTTGACGACATGCTGCCCCGGGCGGAAAAAAAACTAAAACCCTCTCGGATGGCATGCCATCCGAGGGAGGCATCAACCCTAAATCCATGCCTCCCTGTGTTTAGGGTTGATGCCTCCCTGACCGGATGCATGCCCGAATGGGTTTTATTTTTTTTGAGGTGGGGAATAGAATGGAACAAGGGTGGGGATCATTTGAGGTGACTCGGAAAACACCCTCACACCTTGTGGAATCGACGCCAGTTGTCCCTTGGGTTGGGACGTACTACGAAGTTACCACGAAAACACACAGATACCATCCTTTCTCACCTGTAGGCCTGAACCAGGCCCCTCACCTGTAGCACCATGAGTGTTGACAGCAGCGCCAGCAGCACGCGGTACCCCACCAACTTGGTTGAAGAAGCCCTTTGACCACCCTACAGAATCTAACCGACACACACAGAAAGCCATCCTACCTCTCCTCTTCTCACCTGCAGCACCATGAGCGTGGACAGCAGCGCCAGCAGCACGCAGTACCCCACCGACTCGTGCAGCGCCTCCAGCGACATGGCAATCGTGAATGCCGCGACCGTCAGAAAGTACCCCCCCAGCTGAAACCCCTGGTGCAGCGGGAACCAGTACCGACTATGCTTCCTCACATACCGCCCCGAAACCGCCCCCATCGGCAGCATAAACGCCCACGCCGCCACACTCAGCGCCGAATACACCACCCCTGCCGTCGTCACCGAAGCCGCGTTCGGATCCACGTCAGTTTCCTTGCCGAAATCTATCGGGGCACTTGCCATGGCGGCTATTCCGTCTGGGGAGAGGGAGTCGTTGGAAGGGAAGAACTGGGTGCCTTTGGTCCAGAGGAGCACTGCGCCGGTCCGCTGCCGGTGGGGGAGCTTGATGGTAAAGAGCAGCGTGAGGGACCCTGCTTGGAGCTCCGCTTTCGCGGAGATGAGTGAGAGATTGCCACCCCGGACCATGGCGGTTTGCTCCTGTGGTGCGATCGTGGCAGCACTGCTACCGTCACCGCTGCTGCCGCCGCTGGTGCCGCTGCTGCTGGTGGTGGTGAGCGTGCCTGTGGTGGTGCTCCCAGTGGCACTGGCGTTGCTGCTGCCTCCCTCCTGCTTCACAATCTGATACTCCTCCACCTTCAATCCCCCGCTTCCGTCCTCCGCCCGCACTGCAACCAGCATCGAGGCGCCCACTAACGAGTCCGGCTTCACATACCCACCCTCCGCGCTCTCATTCCCCCCCGCCGGCGCGGGGGGAGGGGTAAACAGCGCCTCTAGAAGTGGAGTCGGCGGTGGTAGCAGCAGCCCTACAGCAGCATACCCTTGGGGGGAGACAGATTGAGAAATGAACGCACCAGACAGCTCCTCTTTCCCCAGCGTCCACATGAAAAAGAACCCGCCTGGTAGCGCCTCACACGAGGCGAATTTCCTGTTCTCCCCTTCAAACGTCGTGCTGCACTGAGATAAGCCAGAAATCACCGCCCCGTCGTCCCACATGGACGGCTCGCCGGGCGGCGAGGGCAGAAAGCCGGGCGGCAGAGGCGGGTAGCTGAGCTCCGGCGTGTTCCAGAGCGGCTCACAGGAGTTTGTCGCTTTGGCAGCATTCAAAGTGATGTTAATGGAACCGGAAAAGAACGCAGCAGAGGCGGCGTGTGGGAGGAGTTGCGGCAGCGAGAGGGTGGAGGACGGGAGAAGGGGTCCCGTGGCGAAAATGAAGAGCAGCGGGCGGGAGAGGTCGGTGTTGTTTGGGACTGCAGAGGGGAAGCTTATATCGAATCGGCGGTCAAAGAGGGGGTCGGTGGAGAGGGCGAGGGAGCGGCGGAAGCGGACAAAGGAGACGTCTGCTTGGCGCGCAGCGAGGGTGAGGTTGACGTTGTCGAGCGAGGGAGAGGAGCCCAGCAGCGCGTCCTGAAGGGGGGGAAAAGTAGTGGGAGGGAGCAGGCGAGAGGTTCGTGGGGTTTTATTCCTGAGAATCTCACACGAAAAAACGTCTTGCTTGGCGCGCAGCAAGGGTGAGGTTGACGTTGTCCAGGGAGGGAGAGGAGCTCAGCAGCGCGTCCTGATGGGGGGTAGTGGCAGGAGCAGGACGGGAGGGGAGTAGGAAGTGGGGTAAGAGGGGGTGGGTTTTGAGGAGCTCGAAACTAAGTTGCTTATGGAGGGGAGAGGAGTTCAGAAGAGTATCGCCTCAAAGGGATCAACACGCCTCCCCCATTGGAGATTTTGATTCAACAACGGGACTCACCGGGCACACGCCCACGTATCCTCCTGCGATCTGCTCACACGCCTCCAGCGCCGTGACGTAGAAATCCGTTGCAAAGGCATCGGGCGCCCCACTCCCACCACTACTGCCACTGAAACCACTACCAAAACTGCTGCTACTACCAACGCTGCCGCTACCGGCAACACTGCTGCTACTACTGGTGCTACCGCTGCTGCTGCTGCTGCTGCTGCTGGAGGAGAAGATTCCTGCAGCAGCGATGTCGCTGCTGTGCATGTCCGCTTGCGACTGGTTACCCGAGAGGCCCAGGGCCATCCAACTGTTGTCAGGCACCTTGCCCTCCAGCCCAAACTCCACCGCCATGCCATTTATGGGGTCGCCCACCATGCGCCAGTAGCTGCGGAGGGATCGGAAGCACAAAGAGGACGCAAGGCAGACACAATCAGGGCCACACCACCTTCCCCTCCAGCCCAAACTCCACCGCCATGCCGTTTATGGGGTCGCCCACCATGCGCCAGTAGCTGCGGAGGGATCGGAAGCACAAAGAGGACGCAAGGCAGACACAATCAGGGCTACACCACCTTCCCCTCCAGCCCAAACTCCACCGCCATGCCGTTTATTGGATCGCCCACCATGCGCCAGTATCTGCGGAGGGATCGGAAGCACAAAGAGGACGCAAGGCAGACACAATCAGGGCCACACCACCTTCCCCTCCAGCCCAAACTCCACCGCCATGCCGTTTATTGGATCGCCCACCATGCGCCAGTAGCTGCGGAGGGATCGGAAGCACAAAGAGGACGCAAGGCAGACACAATCAGGGCCACACCACCTTCCCCTCCAGCCAAAACTCCACCGCCACACCGTTTATTGGATCGCCCACCATGCGCCAGTATTTGCGGAGGGATCGGAAGCACAAAGAGGACGCAAGGCAGATACAATCAGGGCCACACCACCTTCCCCTCCAGCCCAAACTCCACCGCCATGCCGTTTATGGGGTCGCCCACCATGCGCCAGTAGCTGCGGGGGAGGAGGAGGGGGTGAGGGAGGGGGGTTTGCGCCAAGGAGGAACATGGGGGAGGGATGGCAAAGATAAGCTTCCGGATGGGCTTGTAACGAGGGAAGACAAGTTAGACATTAACCGATTGATTGACCCCTCGTCGCCACCTACATGTTCAGCCGGCCCTTCTTCGCCGTGACGCAGTTCACGAACCCCAACGCGGGGGACGCCTTTGGAGGCGCCTCAAAAGTCGAGAGAGAGAATAACCAACGTATCGAACCTCCCTCAGACCTACATGTTCAGCCGGCCCTTCTTCGCCGTGACGCAATTCACGAACCCCAACGCGGGGGATGCCACGGGTGGCGGGGGTGGCGGAACGGGCGGAGGCGGCGGCGGCATAACCGGCGGCGGCGGCGCCAGCAACCGGTTGTCCTTGGCATACTTCAGCACCTGCTTCCGCAGACCCTCGGAAGCTTCCGTTGCGCTTCCTGGCAGCAAATCTGCTCCCCCAGCACCCTTGCCGCTGGCACCTGCTGCCCCGCCAAGGGTAAGTCGCCTGGGCAGCTGCAGCTGAGCTAAGATTTTCTGTAAGACCCCCGCGGGGGTGGTAGTGACTAGGTAGAGAACGTGTATGTTATCCCACGTGCGGCCTTGGGAGCCGATGTGAACGGCGAGGAGAGGGGAGGCGGAGGCGGGGTCGAGGGAAGAGAGGGCGGGATCGATGGGGGAGGCGTAGGAGAATGGATCATCGCCGGCTATTCCGCCCCAGAGGGAGAGAGAGGGAGTGCTGTTGGCGGATTTCAATCTGGAGGAGAAGGCGAATGGGGGGGAGGACGAAGGTGTAAGAGTGGGTTTGAGAGGGAACTTCTGCATGGGAGTTTTGCGGGGAGATGCTTGTGGAGAAGCTAACATGCGAGTGGAAAGGAGTGAGAGGGCTGCGGGAGAAGATCGGTTGCAGTGAACTCACGAGAGCGAGGAGAGGGCGAGGTAGCAGTCGTCATACACCGTCACGAGCGCCGACAGCTGAATGAGCGGATGCAGAGGGGTGAACGCGCCTCTGAAACCCACCACCGAGTAATTCCCTGACACGCCGCACGGTGCGTAGTTTTTACCCGAAAACAGAATGGCTTCTGCGCTCAGTAATAGCGACGCGTTTGGAAACCATGCACTGATAAAAATCGCCAACAGGGCTAGTAATAACCGATGACTCAACATCGGGTGCACATGTGACCGATGTTGGTGCGGTCCGAATGAAGCCGTCGCTTGCTTTTTCCTGCGCGCGCGCCATATTGATCTAACTTCTGTGCGTCTTTGTTTGCTGTTCGTGCATGTACAATCCCGTGATGCTGCTGTTGCTGCGACTTCTGTCGCAACAGCATCAGCTATAGTCAAACCCATTCTGCTATTGCGCGTCGTAGTCTACTGTGGCTCGCATGTTCTGTGCACTGTTGGGCATACTCTCACACTGGTGCGACAACTAGACGCCGTCAGATCTGGTGGTTTGAGGTTCGTGGGCACGGAGGGGAAAAGCTCCAGCGACGAGGAAAGCGTGAGACTAAACTTTATAAACAGCTGGCGTATTTCCACGAAGCGTTACGGAGTCGTGAATATAATTATTCAATACAGTAATGCTCGTAAAGCGGAGAAGTATTCATCAATAGTAAACTGGACCACTTAGTCGTCTCTAGTGCCCGGGTGCCCTTTGCATGTGGAAGGTTGCTCAACCGAGATTATGAGGCTAACGAACGAGCCTAACAGACCCTTCCGAAAGGGCCTTACTCGTAAAAGATGGTCTGGAGGAAAAAAGGAGCGAAAGAAAGAGGAGAGAAGGACAACCAGAGGTCAAGGAAGCACCCCTGAGGAAAAGTGGCAAGGCTCTATGGTCTTGGCGGAGAAGCTTGTTCAGGGAAGGTGAAGGAACCACGATGGGTAGTACTAGTGACCACAGATGAACCAGGGCACAGCAGAGTGGGATGAACATGAAGCCCATTGAGCGTCTCGCTGGCTGATAGTGAAGTGATGGGGGAGCTCAGGGGTGTGACCGTTAGAGGTGTTCGCAGGGAGAAGTGCGATTGGCGGGAATGGTTGTCAGAAAGGGAGCCAATTTCCGTGAATTGGTGATCACTCTTATCGGGCAGTATACATTGTTCAGAACTAGGAAGTATCGAGATTTTTGCCATGCAAGGTTGAGTTTGTTGGCCGGTGGAATCAACGTGTGGAGATGAAATCAAATATTGACGGATTCCAGTGAGGTCATTCTGATATTTACCCAGGTTAGGGTGAGAATGAAATGTAGCATCAGCTAAACCGCGGCTCGCGCGCAGTGTTGAGATGGCGCGCCTCGTGGGTGGCTGGCCGATTGTGATGCAGCAGTGCCCCGTCGCCTCGCTGCCACTTACTAAAGAGCCGCAACATAAAAACTCATACTCTGTACAGAAATGTAAATTAATGATTCTGAACACCACTCATAAATACGCAAAGTTCATAACGCGTACATTTTCTCACCCACCATTTCCCCCAGCTTCTCTGAATGTCACGTATTCTCATGCCAGTCTCCTCATCTCTCCTTCGTCTCACACCCACGAAAAGACAGAGAAGCTTGTCACCCAGTCGCTGAAACTCCCGATTTCAGAGTTCGACTTTTGCATAATTAAGGAGCGTCTTTCGTTATATATATCTTCCAGCTGAGTCATGACCTGCGAAGTGCGTGAGCTAAAAGAACTGGTGGGTGATGGCAGAGTGTCCTTCTAGGAATAGTTGGTTCCATAGCCAGTTCGATATGCTCTTCATGTTCCACGAGGTTCGGAGAGTGTTTTCTATATTTAAAACGTGAGCTCAGCTCGGGAGTCAATGCTATTGAGGTTTTTTTCTCTCTCCCTCTCTCTCGAATCGATCGCCCTACACACAGTTCTCCTGGTCATTGTATGTACAGCGAGCAGAGTCTGTTTGGTATTGTCAGCCGTTCTTACCTGTCGTCCACATTGTTCCTTCTGATAAAACTTCTCCTGATATATTTGGTTGTGTTTTAACGTTTCTGGGCCTGTGCGTGTGCGTTTGTCTGCGCCTGTGCGTGTGCCCTCCCTCCGTGGCCGATGTATCTGCATGGACGTTGATCCGTGACAGTTGCTCGAACATTATCAAATCCGTGAGGTCTTACGATGTGAGTTGCTCCGCACTCTCCCCTTTTTCCATCTCCTTTCTCGCCTCTCCGTCCATCCCTCTCTTTCTACCTCAACTTTCTTCGACAACATCATGCTCTCTTAGGCTCTGAGCGCCTCAAACTCAGAATTTTCTTTCTTTTCTCCCTTTCCCTCCAGGTCTGCTCCACACCATCATGTTCCATCGGGCACTGGGTCTCGTGCGACCCAAGAGCATCGATTCAGAGCTCTTTGATATCACCTATGTGAGCTTGTCCCTGCCATATATCTTGCTTTCCTTATTATTGCACTTCCATTCTATGCCGATGTGTGCTCCTTGTTCTACCGTTGTACCTGTGGTTTCCTTACCTCCATCCCTATCTGTCGCCCTTTTCTTCTGCTGCTGCGTCCCTTCTCCAGGTGCAGTGTGGAGATGCAGAGGTGGAGAGACAAATAGAGGAGAAAATCGGACAGTTTAGTCTTTGGCTAGAAAAGAACCCCACCAAGAAGGGACAGGTAGGTATTGCTCGATCAAGAAATTAGCTTGAAACATTTAGTCAGTTTTTTAGTATTTTGTCCCCACATGCATGCACATTCATCTCACTACAGCGTTTTTTCTTTAGCATCCTTCCATCATTCTATCCTTCTGTCGCCCCCCTCCCTGCTCTACCAGATCTGCCTTTCTTTCTTTGAGAAGCGCCGTCCAATCACAAGCTCCAGCTCGTCAGCCACGTCACCTGGTGGCAACACAGCTGGCACAAGAAGTGGAAGCGGTAGCAAAACCAGCACCAGCAGCAGTGGCAGCAGCGGTAGTGGTGGCGGCAGTGGCAGCGGCGCTGGTGGTGGTAGCACAAGGAAGGACGCAGCAGCATCATGGTTGAGTGCGAGTGCCGCCCGATTGAGCCTAGGATCAGATAAGATCACATGGGAACAGTGGATCATCCCTGTCTCACTCCTCACCTCCGCTTCAGCCGGTACTTCTGGCCTGCAACATTCCTATTCCTCCTCTTCTTTCTCCTCCTCTTCTCCTGCACATTCCAGTGCAGCACATACCACTGTTCCCACCACCACTGCTCCCTCCACCACTGTTGTCGTCGGAACATTGCCATCCCCATCCCCATCGCACTCATTTTCCCCCACTGCTTCTAATGCTGCTGCCACCAACTTTGCTAATGCGTCTAGGCTTTCTACTGGCCTGTCAATCACGTTGCAACAGCAGCAGCAGGGGCAGCAGGGGCAGCAGCAGCAGCAGCAGCAGCAGCAGCAGCAGCAGCAGCAGCGCAGTACGCAGTTAGAGGCAGATGTGAGGGAGGCACTGCTTTCGATTCTCACAATGGCCAATGAGAAGAGGGACCATCTGCCTCCTGTCCTCACGTCATCCCTCGTCTCTTTCCCCTTTGAAATATCCGTCCCAAGGTGTGTAAATTCAGAATATTTCATCATCGTCCCATGTATCCCCGTTACCTGCAAATCCTTATTTTCCAGGCTGCGTTCTCACCATTTTTTGTCGTTTTGTGTGTACATCCGTGTATCTGCCTGAGCAGCATGTCAGACTCCTTCGGAATGGATGTATTGAAGAGAATGTTGCAGACAGCACCACACCATGTTCTGGGATAACTCTGATTGGTGGAAAAGCCTACTTTTGTGGGCATTCTTGTACATAGCCGTTCATGTGGGGAAATTTATATGTACAGTGTTGAATCCAGCAGCACCTGTATTTCTTCATTGTTGAGATATGCATATATAAGTACACATATGTTCAGGGCGGTAACCTTGTACCCGATTCGCCCCGTCCCATTACCACAATGGCCTTCATGACACTGCTCATTTCGCGACACTCACAGCACCCTGATAAACCTGCTCTTCCTGCTGCTTTGGCACAACCATGGCGACCTGACCAACTTCGTATTTCTCCCACACCAGCAAAATTGGCTCGGATAGCGAAACCGAGCCGCACACGTGTGTCCATTCCCGACCCGAGTAATTGCACTATAGATCCCGTGGTAGCTCCCCTGCAGTTGTCACACCAAGTTTCTTCAACAGTACATTCCTTCAATCTTCCTGTGTCGTCGTCCGATTGCGAATCCTTCGTTTTGCTACGTCGCTAACGCGCTGCCGTCGCTACTAGCATTAGCGCGTTTTCGGTTTTATTCTGCGAATCATGGTAGCTCGTCGCGTGCTCTCTCCGTTACCAGCGCTCGATGAAGCGTCTCTCACGGCGCTGCTGCAGCGGCACGGGCTGAAAGAGTCGCACAGCCGGACGATTATCAGGTCAGCTTGGTACGATGGAATGGCTGTTACAACCTCAAACCACAAGTTGTGTACCGAGTAGCACTGCTGCAGAAATGGCCTGCTGTAGCAGCACGATCTGAAGGAGTCGCTGCATGCATTCTTTTCTTGGTCTTCCCGTTCTCCCGTACCCAGTCATGTCGTCGATTCAAGCGGACCTGGGTTCGTGCCCTGACATTCCGAATCCCAGGCTCCATACTCGCTAATGAGTACCTCGTTTTAACCTCTGTCCCTCTGTCTTTTCCCGTTTCCTTATCCAGCCATGTCATCAGAACACGTGGCTTGGGATCATGGACCGATATTCCGAAGCTGCCCCAGCCTCTGTACTCGCTACTGCAAGATTCGTTTGTCGCCAGCACGTCCGAAGTCGTGGAGGAGAAAACATCACATGATGGAGAGACGATAAAACTTCTGATAAGGCTACAGGACGGGTTGACTGTAGAAGCGGTGATAATGCGTTATGATGCATCAGAGGGACGCTACAATGGGGGACAACGACCCGGGGGAGAGAGAGCGACACTGTGTGTGTCTTCTCAGGTAGGCCATGCCGCCATGCATGTTCCCTAGTTCAGTTCAGGATTGCAGTCATCGATGTGGGAGAGCTGAGCAGCAAGAGCTGAACAGCATTCATTCTGGATTGAATCCTGAAAATTCTTATAAGTTTTTCGAGATTGGCCTTTGAGAAGTCTTTAATCTGAACCCATATATCTCCCATCCAACCATGTGTGCATGCATGATCGCAGGTGGGGTGTGCGATGGGGGCGGGGGTTGAGAAAGGGAGAGACTGAGAAGGGGGGGGTTGAGAAAAGGGGGAGTTGAGAAAGGGGGGGGGGTGAGAAAGGAGGGAGTGGAGAAAGGAGAGAGTTGAGAAAAGGGGGGAGTAAAGAAAGGGGGGAGCTGGGAAAGGGGGCAGTTGAGAAAAGGGAGAATTGAGAAAAGGGGGGAGTTGTTCATTCTGTGCCATGGGCACCATGTCCCGCCGTGACTTTTGAGTCGACTCAAAATTCACCTCGTTACCATGGCACACGACACCTTTTGTGCCACAGACACCATGTCCCGCCTCGCCCCACTCGTGCATGACTCTTCAATCTCAACCCATGCTTCTTCTATGCACCCGTGCACCCATACCTGTCACATGTCTTCATGACTGCAGGTGGGTGGGATTATGCCATGGGCTGCTCCTTCAGTGCCACGGGCACCATGTCTCCTTCCTGCATGACTCGTTGACCCCATTCTTCTATGCATCCATGCCCACGTGACCACATGACCACATGACCACATGACCACATGACCACATGACCACATGCCCACGTGACCACATGCCCACATGACCACATGCCCACGTGACCACGTGACCACATGCAGGTGGGATGCGCTATGGGGTGTTCCTTCTGTGCTACGGGCACCATGTCTCGCCCCACCAGCCTCGCAGCCGGGGAGATCGCTGAGCAGCTGCTGCTGGCGTCCCAAAGAGTGCCCATCCGAAATGTTGTTTTTATGGTACGTGCACGAATGTGTTCGGAGTTTGTGTGTGCATGCATGCATCACCATGTCTCAACCCACCATGTCTCGCCCCACCAGCCTCGCAGCCGGGGAGATCGCCGAGCAGCTGCTGCTGGTGTCCCAACGAGTCCCCATCCGAAACGTCGTCTTCATGGTACGTGCTTTGAGGCTATGGTCATGTGTGTCTGTTGGGTTCATTATAGGTGCATGCGTGCATGCTTCTAGTCACGGCCTTTTAGGCGTCCCTCCTTGTGTGATGAGGCAATTTTTGAGTTGACTACAAAAAGCGTCTAGTCACAGCCTTTGAGGCCTCCCTCCTCACCCTCCTGTCTTGTTTTTCTGTCTGTGCTTCTCATCACCCGCCCCTGCTTCCTTCACTCCTGGCAGGGCATGGGAGAGCCGTTCAACAACCATGCGGCAGTGAAGGCAGCAGTAGAGCTGATGGTAGCTCCACACGGCTTCCACATGTCGCCCAACCACATCACCGTCTCCACTGTAAGTGCTAGACAAATTTCACATGTGTCCCATGTGTCCCGTGTGTCCACAAGTTCGTCCACTTTAGGTCCCATGCCTGCCTGCATTAACATGTTGCATTCGTTGTTGTCTTCGTCTTGCTCCACACTCCCTCTCTCCCTTCACACACTCCCTCGCTTCACACACTCCCTCCCTTCACACACTCCCTCCCTTCACACACTCCCTCCCTTCACACACTCCCTCCTTTCACACACTACCTCCCTTCACCCACTCCCTCCCTTCACACACTCCCTCCTTTCACACACTACCTCCCTTCACACACTCCCTCCCTTCACACACTCCCTTCCTTCACACACTCCCTTCCTTCACACACTCCCTTCACACGCTCCCTCCTTTCCTGCAATCCTTCCTTCCACCCACTCCTCTCCTCATCAGGTGGGTTTGGTGCCGCATATCCGTTCCTTCATCTCCGCCTTCCCCTCAGTCAATCAGGTTCCCACATTCCCTCCCCTCCCCACACTCCTTCCCTCCACCCCATCAGGTTGGAGTGGTGCCGCATATACGTTCCTTCGCCTCCGCCTTCCCCTCGGTCAACCTCGCTCTCTCCCTCCACGCTCCATCACAATCCCTCCGCGTCTCCATCGTCCCATCAGCTCGAGCCTATTCCCTGGATAAACTTATGGGGGCTGTAGACGCGTACCAGAAAGACAGGTACAGACAGTCACTCACTGAACTCATGTGCCCCTCGCGGTCCAGTTTCCACCATCCACATGTTCCCCTCTCAACCCCTCCATGTCTCCATCATCCCATTTGTTCGAGCCTTGGTTTTTTCTTTCTTCTTTTTCTTTCTTTCTTTAACTCAGACGTTTGTTGATGAGTGTAGAATCGGGCATCTGATGCGTGCGCCTCAAATGATGACGGCCGATTGGGACAGGAACTGTGAAAGAAACCTCAAGGAGCGCACATTCATGTTCACCAATAGCCATCTACGTGTCTGCTTCTGCAGCGGGCGGCAAGCCTTTTTTGCCTACATCTTGCTATGAGGGATCGGAGAAACCTATGTATTGCAGATTGGCCAATTATCATTTTTTTCAGAGAGATCATTTTTTTCTGTTTCCCTTCTCATGTGTGTGCAGTGGGCGGCGAGTCTTCATCGAATACATCTTGCTAGGAGGGGTGAATGACAGCATCAGTGTGGCATGTGAAACAAGTTCTCAAAACCTGTTCTCTTTGCGCGTGTGTGTGCAGTGGGCGGCGAGTCTTTATCGAGTATATCTTGCTAGGAGGGGTGAATGACAGCATTAGTGTGGCACACGAGCTCGGGCTGCTGCTGCAATCACGCAACGTGGTAAACATCCAGTCATTTGTGTTTCCTGCATTTGCAGTTGCATCAGTCTCTGCCATCTACCACCCCGCATGTCTCGATTTCGGCCATGTGCTGCTGCTGCTATAACCGGAATAGGAACGTCTGAATTGTTTACCTTATGCTACTGTAATCCCTTTCCGTTACTTTCTTCCAGGTGGTGAATCTTATTCCATACAATCACACAGAGGTTGTAGCAGATTATCGACCATCCACTCCCGAGGTTGCGGAGGCATTTCAGAAGGTGTTACGAGGGAGTTACGGGTTACGGACCACCATCAGGCGCGAGAAAGGGAATGACATCGCAGGGGCATGCGGCCAATTGGCAGTTAAAGCCCTGAAGAGTGGGGGTTTAGGGGAGTCAAATTTAGAGGAAGGAATTTTTGGAAGGTTGAGAAGCAAGGTTTTGCCGAGCAAAACATGTGGCGCTGGTACTGGTAATGGGAGTGGGATGGGGGACAGAAAGGTTTGTGGAGGATCTACTGGTGGTAGCTTGTTGGACATTGAAGACATGGGCTGACTGCATTGTGAATTACGTAATTGTGTGTTGTGCAATGTGTGGATTACAGAACCAGAGTGGTATGAAGTTTGGTTTATGTATGAAAACAAACGAAGTTGCCTGCAAATCTGGACTCGCTAATATGCGTTTTTTAGGACCACCGGAATCAGCCGTAACGCGTACCGACAGAGATTGGAGGACGGTGCTTGCATGTGGCCAGAAATGTGCTGCTCGGAAGTGTGACGTAGCACTGCGGTGACCACTTCCGAGGCCGCGTTTCCAGTACGTTACGAACACTCTGAAATGTCGCAAACATGTTAGAACATGCGAGCAACGACAGGCACTTGCTTTTATTGGTCAGTGGGTTTAGCGTTTGACAGGCCGTCAGCATTTTGCACCGTTTGACAGGTGGCGAAAAATGTGCCATTGGTTGCGACATCATGAACTGGCAACTGCAGCTTGTTTATGACTGAACTACCTATTTCGAACACCACTTGCATTATGAATGTCATCAGAAACGCTGTTTGAATGTTCGGAATGCGTTGTGTTGTGATCATCTCTAGCCTTCAAAATCCCGGGTCGCACTCCAACACTATTCAACGATGTAGATCACCCCATCCCTGAACTAGTGGTTGGGGGGAGAGGGATTGACTTTTTCCGCAGACTCGTGGTGTTGGTTGCTGCTCTCTCCCAAGTATTATCCCAATTGACTGGGAGATTATATGTTGCTGCGAATTGCTTTCCCTCGCAACTGGTGAGTTTGGTTTCGAGACAGACCGCCTGCTGGTGGAGTGCATATTCTCGCATCGCGGTTGTTTGTGTCCCCGTTGCATTTCCAGGAACCCGTTGGTGCTTCCATCGCAGCCAGTTGTCGCTGCATTCGCCATGGCGTCGCACGTCGCCTGCGGTCCGTCCGCAGCGAATAGTATAGTATCAAGCAATCGCCCTCCAATCCTGTCGCGATCTCCATCGTGGATCCCATTGTGCGATTCGCACTTGCGAAAGCCTTGCGCGATGACCGGTTACTGTGCGACGAGTCAACGACGGGGAATCGTCGTCGCGACGGCCTTCGGATCGCCGTGGACGGCATCAACCGCATTCTCCGCCGGAAAGCCCGCTGATTCACAACCCTCCGCTACGACCAAACGAAGCCTCTCTATGAACAGCGCGAGTGGCGCAGCAGGCGAAACAGCGGCAGGAGCAGCAGGAGCAGTGACGGAGAGTCCGCCGTACAATCCGGGTCTGTTCGGTCGGCTTGCGCTCGCGAACTTCAGGCAGAAACTTGTGGAGGTGCGGCGTGGTGGGGGAAGGTGAAGAGAGGGGGGGGGGGGGGGGGGGGGGGGGGGGAGTAGGGGAAGGTGGGGGGAGTGAGGTGGGATTGAGAGACGCGAGGAGCGGGCCGTGATGCGAAAGTGGGTAGTTGAGTTACAGAAGTGAGAGAGCAAGCCGGATGTTTTCGAATTTCTCTAAAAGCAAGTGGTGTGCGAGACCAAGCCGGGTCTGTCTGGTGCGTTTGGGTGTTTTGAGCTGTCGCGGAATCAATTATTTTTCACGAGAGGAGTGACCTGTGATGTGAAATGGAGTCCTTGAGTCTGGCGTGTGGGAGAGCGAGCCGGAAAGCTACTGCTGATGCCCTCTCCCTCACCCTTCAGTTCGCCCAACTTCCTCCCTTCCCCTATCCCACTTCCATCCCCCTATCCCGCTGTTCACTGTGCGTTCAGGTGGTGGGATGGAGCTCGCCCAAGGAGGGGTAGGATGGGATGATAGAGGAGGCGAGCAGACTGCTGCTAATGCCCTCTCTTTCTCTCCACATACTCCTCCCAACCTCCGTCCCCCTATCCGCTCTTCGCTGTGTTTTCAGGTGGTGGGATGGAGCTCGACTAAAGAGGGGTATGACGGGATGAAAGAGGAGGCGAGCAGGCTGCTGCTGATTCTCTCTCTCTCTCTCTCTCTCTCTCTCTCTCTCTCTCTCTCTCTCTCTCTCTCTCTCTCTCTCTCTCTCTCTCTATCTCTCTCTCTCTCCCCCTTCATTGCTCCCCACCCGTGTCTCAGGTGGTGGGATGGAGCTCGCCGAAAGAGGGGTACGATGGGATGATAGAGGAGGCGCGGAAGCTGCTGCTGATGCACCCCGATCGCAAGAAGAGCGAGGAGGACGCGGTGAGTGTGTGTGTGTGTGTGTGTGTGTGTGTGTGTGTGTGTGTGTGTGTGTGTGTGTGTGTGTGTGTGTGTGTGTGTGTGTGTGTGTGTGTGTGCTCGTTATAGTCACACTCTGCACTGCATACATACTCTTGCTGCTGATGCACGGGGATCGCAAGAAGAGCGAGGAGGACGCGGTGAGTGTGTGTGTGTGTGTGTGTGTGTGTGTGTGTGTGTGTGTGTGTGTGTGTGTGTGTGTGTGTGTGTGTGTGTGTGTGTGTGCTCGTTATAGTCACACACTGTGCACTGCATACATACTCTTGCTGCTGATGCACGGGGATCGCAAGAAGAGCGAGGAGGACGCGGTGAGTCATTGCATGTCATGAGTCCTCCTCGCTCATTTATGACATGAGCGTCACATGACCATAAGATGAGCATACCATGAGCGTCACATGACCATAAGATGAGCATACCATGAGCGTCACATGACCATAAGATGAGCATACCATGAGCGTCACATGACCATAAGATGAGCATACCATGAGCGTCACATGACCATAAGATGAGCATACCATGAGCGTCACATGACCATAAGATGAGCATACCATGAGCGTCACATGACCATAAGATGAGCATACCATGAGCGTCACATGACCATAAGATGAGCATACCATGAGCGTCACATGACCATAAGATGAGCATACCATGAGCGTCACATGACCATAAGATGAGCATACCATGAGCGTCACATGACCATAAGATGAGCATACCATGAGCGTCACATGACCATAAGATGAGCATACCATGAGCGTCACATGACCATAAGATGAGCATACCATGAGCGTCACATGACCATAAGATGAGCATACCATGAGCGTCACATGACCATAAGATGAGCATACCATGAGCGTCACATGACCATAAGATGAGCATACCATGAGCGTCACATGACCATAAGATGAGCATACCATGAGCGTCACATGACCATAAGATGAGCATACCATGAGCGTCACATGACCATAAGATGAGCATACCATGAGCGTCACATGACCATAAGATGAGCATACCATGAGCGTCACATGACCATAAGATGAGCATACCATGAGCGTCACATGACCATAAGATGAGCATACCATGAGCGTCACATGACCATAAGATGAGCATACCATGAGCGTCACATGACCATAAGATGAGCATACCATGAGCGTCACATGACCATAAGATGAGCATACCATGAGCGTCACATGACCATAAGATGAGCATACCATGAGCGTCACATGACCATAAGATGAGCATACCATGAGCGTCACATGACCATAAGATGAGCATACCATGAGCGTCACATGACCATAAGATGAGCATACCATGAGCGTCACATGACCATAAGATGAGCATACCATGAGCGTCACATGACCATAAGATGAGCATACCATGAGCGTCACATGACCATAAGATGAGCATACCATGAGCGTCACATGACCATAAGATGAGCATACCATGAGCGTCACATGACCATAAGATGAGCATACCATGAGCGTCACATGACCATAAGATGAGCATACCATGAGCGTCACATGACCATAAGATGAGCATACCATGAGCGTCACATGACCATAAGATGAGCATACCATGAGCGTCACATGACCATAAGATGAGCATACCATGAGCGTCACATGACCATAAGATGAGCATACCATGAGCGTCACATGACCATAAGATGAGCATACCATGAGCGTCACATGACCATAAGATGAGCATACCATGAGCGTCACATGACCATAAGATGAGCATACCATGAGCGTCACATGACCATAAGATGAGCATACCATGAGCGTCACATGACCATAAGATGAGCATACCATGAGCGTCACATGACCATAAGATGAGCATACCATGAGCGTCACATGACCATAAGATGAGCATACCATGAGCGTCACATGACCATAAGATGAGCATACCATGAGCGTCACATGACCATAAGATGAGCATACCATGAGCGTCACATGACCATAAGATGAGCATACCATGAGCGTCACATGACCATAAGATGAGCATACCATGAGCGTCACATGACCATAAGATGAGCATACCATGAGCGTCACATGACCATAAGATGAGCATACCATGAGCGTCACATGACCATAAGATGAGCATACCATGAGCGTCACATGACCATAAGATGAGCATACCATGAGCGTCACATGACCATAAGATGAGCATACCATGAGCGTCACATGACCATAAGATGAGCATACCATGAGCGTCACATGACCATAAGATGAGCATACCATGAGCGTCACATGACCATAAGATGAGCATACCATGAGCGTCACATGACCATAAGATGAGCATACCATGAGCGTCACATGACCATAAGATGAGCATACCATGAGCGTCACATGACCATAAGATGAGCATACCATGAGCGTCACATGACCATAAGATGAGCATACCATGAGCGTCACATGACCATAAGATGAGCATACCATGAGCGTCACATGACCATAAGATGAGCATACCATGAGCGTCACATGACCATAAGATGAGCATACCATGAGCGTCACATGACCATAAGATGAGCATACCATGAGCGTCACATGACCATAAGATGAGCATACCATGAGCGTCACATGACCATAAGATGAGCATACCATGAGCGTCACATGACCATAAGATGAGCATACCATGAGCGTCACATGACCATAAGATGAGCATACCATGAGCGTCACATGACCATAAGATGAGCATACCATGAGCGTCACATGACCATAAGATGAGCATACCATGAGCGTCACATGACCATAAGATGAGCATACCATGAGCGTCACATGACCATAAGATGAGCATACCATGAGCGTCACATGACCATAAGATGAGCATACCATGAGCGTCACATGACCATAAGATGAGCATACCATGAGCGTCACATGACCATAAGATGAGCATACCATGAGCGTCACATGACCATAAGATGAGCATACCATGAGCGTCACATGACCATAAGATGAGCATACCATGAGCGTCACATGACCATAAGATGAGCATACCATGAGCGTCACATGACCATAAGATGAGCATACCATGAGCGTCACATGACCATAAGATGAGCATACCATGAGCGTCACATGACCATAAGATGAGCATACCATGAGCGTCACATGACCATAAGATGAGCATACCATGAGCGTCACATGACCATAAGATGAGCATACCATGAGCGTCACATGACCATAAGATGAGCATACCATGAGCGTCACATGACCATAAGATGAGCATACCATGAGCGTCACATGACCATAAGATGAGCATACCATGAGCGTCACATGACCATAAGATGAGCATACCATGAGCGTCACATGACCATAAGATGAGCATACCATGAGCGTCACATGACCATAAGATGAGCATACCATGAGCGTCACATGACCATAAGATGAGCATACCATGAGCGTCACATGACCATAAGATGAGCATACCATGAGCGTCACATGACCATAAGATGAGCATACCATGAGCGTCACATGACCATAAGATGAGCATACCATGAGCGTCACATGACCATAAGATGAGCATACCATGAGCGTCACATGACCATAAGATGAGCATACCATGAGCGTCACATGACCATAAGATGAGCATACCATGAGCGTCACATGACCATAAGATGAGCATACCATGAGCGTCACATGACCATAAGATGAGCATACCATGAGCGTCACATGACCATAAGATGAGCATACCATGAGCGTCACATGACCATAAGATGAGCATACCATGAGCGTCACATGACCATAAGATGAGCATACCATGAGCGTCACATGACCATAAGATGAGCATACCATGAGCGTCACATGACCATAAGATGAGCATACCATGAGCGTCACATGACCATAAGATGAGCATACCATGAGCGTCACATGACCATAAGATGAGCATACCATGAGCGTCACATGACCATAAGATGAGCATACCATGAGCGTCACATGACCATAAGATGAGCATACCATGAGCGTCACATGACCATAAGATGAGCATACCATGAGCGTCACATGACCATAAGATGAGCATACCATGAGCGTCACATGACCATAAGATGAGCATACCATGAGCGTCACATGACCATAAGATGAGCATACCATGAGCGTCACATGACCATAAGATGAGCATACCATGAGCGTCACATGACCATAAGATGAGCATACCATGAGCGTCACATGACCATAAGATGAGCATACCATGAGCGTCACATGACCATAAGATGAGCATACCATGAGCGTCACATGACCATAAGATGAGCATACCATGAGCGTCACATGACCATAAGATGAGCATACCATGAGCGTCACATGACCATAAGATGAGCATACCATGAGCGTCACATGACCATAAGATGAGCATACCATGAGCGTCACATGACCATAAGATGAGCATACCATGAGCGTCACATGACCATAAGATGAGCATACCATGAGCGTCACATGACCATAAGATGAGCATACCATGAGCGTCACATGACCATAAGATGAGCATACCATGAGCGTCACATGACCATAAGATGAGCATACCATGAGCGTCACATGACCATAAGATGAGCATACCATGAGCGTCACATGACCATAAGATGAGCATACCATGAGCGTCACATGACCATAAGATGAGCATACCATGAGCGTCACATGACCATAAGATGAGCATACCATGAGCGTCACATGACCATAAGATGAGCATACCATGAGCGTCACATGACCATAAGATGAGCATACCATGAGCGTCACATGACCATAAGATGAGCATACCATGAGCGTCACATGACCATAAGATGAGCATACCATGAGCGTCACATGACCATAAGATGAGCATACCATGAGCGTCACATGACCATAAGATGAGCATACCATGAGCGTCACATGACCATAAGATGAGCATACCATGAGCGTCACATGACCATAAGATGAGCATACCATGAGCGTCACATGACCATAAGATGAGCATACCATGAGCGTCACATGACCATAAGATGAGCATACCATGAGCGTCACATGACCATAAGATGAGCATACCATGAGCGTCACATGACCATAAGATGAGCATACCATGAGCGTCACATGACCATAAGATGAGCATACCATGAGCGTCACATGACCATAAGATGAGCATACCATGAGCGTCACATGACCATAAGATGAGCATACCATGAGCGTCACATGACCATAAGATGAGCATACCATGAGCGTCACATGACCATAAGATGAGCATACCATGAGCGTCACATGACCATAAGATGAGCATACCATGAGCGTCACATGACCATAAGATGAGCATACCATGAGCGTCACATGACCATAAGATGAGCATACCATGAGCGTCACATGACCATAAGATGAGCATACCATGAGCGTCACATGACCATAAGATGAGCATACCATGAGCGTCACATGACCATAAGATGAGCATACCATGAGCGTCACATGACCATAAGATGAGCATACCATGAGCGTCACATGACCATAAGATGAGCATACCATGAGCGTCACATGACCATAAGATGAGCATACCATGAGCGTCACATGACCATAAGATGAGCATACCATGAGCGTCACATGACCATAAGATGAGCATACCATGAGCGTCACATGACCATAAGATGAGCATACCATGAGCGTCACATGACCATAAGATGAGCATACCATGAGCGTCACATGACCATAAGATGAGCATACCATGAGCGTCACATGACCATAAGATGAGCATACCATGAGCGTCACATGACCATAAGATGAGCATACCATGAGCGTCACATGACCATAAGATGAGCATACCATGAGCGTCACATGACCATAAGATGAGCATACCATGAGCGTCACATGACCATAAGATGAGCATACCATGAGCGTCACATGACCATAAGATGAGCATACCATGAGCGTCACATGACCATAAGATGAGCATACCATGAGCGTCACATGACCATAAGATGAGCATACCATGAGCGTCACATGACCATAAGATGAGCATACCATGAGCGTCACATGACCATAAGATGAGCATACCATGAGCGTCACATGACCATAAGATGAGCATACCATGAGCGTCACATGACCATAAGATGAGCATACCATGAGCGTCACATGACCATAAGATGAGCATACCATGAGCGTCACATGACCATAAGATGAGCATACCATGAGCGTCACATGACCATAAGATGAGCATACCATGAGCGTCACATGACCATAAGATGAGCATACCATGAGCGTCACATGACCATAAGATGAGCATACCATGAGCGTCACATGACCATAAGATGAGCATACCATGAGCGTCACATGACCATAAGATGAGCATACCATGAGCGTCACATGACCATAAGATGAGCATACCATGAGCGTCACATGACCATAAGATGAGCATACCATGAGCGTCACATGACCATAAGATGAGCATACCATGAGCGTCACATGACCATAAGATGAGCATACCATGAGCGTCACATGACCATAAGATGAGCATACCATGAGCGTCACATGACCATAAGATGAGCATACCATGAGCGTCACATGACCATAAGATGAGCATACCATGAGCGTCACATGACCATAAGATGAGCATACCATGAGCGTCACATGACCATAAGATGAGCATACCATGAGCGTCACATGACCATAAGATGAGCATACCATGAGCGTCACATGACCATAAGATGAGCATACCATGAGCGTCACATGACCATAAGATGAGCATACCATGAGCGTCACATGACCATAAGATGAGCATACCATGAGCGTCACATGACCATAAGATGAGCATACCATGAGCGTCACATGACCATAAGATGAGCATACCATGAGCGTCACATGACCATAAGATGAGCATACCATGAGCGTCACATGACCATAAGACGAGCATACCATGAGCGTCACATGACCATAAGATGAGCATACCATGAGCGTCACATGACCATAAGATGAGCATACCATGAGCGTCACATGACCATAAGATGAGCATACCATGAGCGTCACATGACCATAAGACGAGCATACCATGAGCGTCACATGACCATAAGATGAGCATACCATGAGCGTCACATGACCATAAGATGAGCATACCATGAGCGTCACATGACCATAAGATGAGCATACCATGAGCGTCACATGACCATAAGATGAGCATACCATGAGCGTCACATGACCATAAGATGAGCATACCATGAGCGTCACATGACCATAAGATGAGCATACCATGAGCGTCACATGACCATAAGACGAGCATACCATGAGCGTCACATGACCATAAGATGAGCATACCATGAGCGTCACATGACCATAAGATGAGCATACCATGAGCGTCACATGACCATAAGATGAGCATACCATGAGCGTCACATGACCATAAGATGAGCATACCATGAGCGTCACATGACCATAAGACGAGCATACCATGAGACATGAGCAAAAATTCGAACCCCTGTTCGGTTCGACTCGAAAGTGTTCGACTCGAACGTGTTCGAATGGTTTTTTTGCCCAAAATTGTTCGTGACGAACACCAAGGTGTTCGTCGCAAACACCTAGGTGTTCGTGCATTTTTATGCGCGTCAAAGTTTAACGCGCTGGTTGGATCTAAAAGGGGAGGGCGTCGATTTAGCTCAAGAATGAGCTCAATCGTCGATATAGCCTAAGGATGGCATTCCGCACCCTACCCACTTAAACTAACACATTCCCATGGTTAAAATTCCACTTTGTGGTTGGAAACGTTAGGTATAAGGTTGGATTAGGGTAGGAGACGGTTAAAAAAAGGAACCAAGGGCATTACGGTTTAGGTTGGAGTTTAGCAAGGAAAAATTGGATATCCACCAGATCTGCACCAAGCTTAACTATATCTCTTGTAGGGCTATAAGGAACGTGACATTGCTTCTAGTACACTCGCCCTGCCTGAATGTGACTATACTGAAAGAACCCCCGAGGCAAACTGTTCGAGTTTGGGTCAAACACCTTAGTGTTCGGCCTTGCCTCAAAACTGTTCGACCCTATACTCGAACGGGGAACACTAACATTTAGGAAAACTGTTCGAGTCAAACGTGTTCGGTTCGGTTCGAATTGACCAAGTGTTCGCAAACTGCTCGAGACAAACGCGTTCGGTTCACTCGTTGCTCATGTAGCGTCACATGACCATAAGATGAGCATACCATGAGCGTCACATGACCATAGCATGAGCATGAATGACATGTTATAGTCACATCACATACACACGCTGCTGCTAATGCACTCGTATGGTAGGAAGAGCAAACAGGACGCGGTGAGCTGTGTGTTCTGCTCGTTATAGTCACATGCTTACTCTCATACGCTCTCTATCACCCATCCCCTCTCCTGCCGCCCATCAGGTGACCATTCTACGAGCCCACTTCCCGCCCTTCCTTCTGCTGCTCTTCAAGAGGTTCTTTGCTCCATTGTGGGGTGGCCGAGTTGCTGCTGTGCTCTGTGGTAAGGCCGATGTGCTGTTTAGCCGACTTGTTACGTTACGCTCGGTTCAGTCATTCCCGCCTTTCTTTCGCTGCTGTGCTTGATACTCCGTGCACGAACGGTGTGCTCGATATTGTTGATATCGCAGCGCGTGAAAATAAATCTGTTTTGAGACATCTCAAAGCAACATTATAATCACGTGGTAAGCGCTGCTGTGCTCGATACTCTGTGGTAGGCACTGAACAACAGTGTGCTATTTTTGAGGCGCCTAGAATATATATATATATATATATATGTATATTTGGTGGGGCTCGATACTCTGCACATTGTTCTGTGCTCAAGAAGTAAGCACAGAGCGGTGTGCTATCGTTTATATCACAGTGAGTGCTGGCCTTACATCTGTGCTGTGGTGCTCCCTCCCTCCCTCCCTCCCTCCCTCCCTCCCTCCCTCCCTCCCTCCCTCCCTCCCTCCCTCCCTCCCTCCCTCCCTCCCTCCCTCCCTCCCTCCCTCCCTCCCTCCCTCTCTTCTTCCCTCCCTACCTTCTTCCCTCCCTCCCTCCCTCCCTCCCTCCCTCCCTCCCTCCCTCCCTCCCTCCCTCCCTCCCTCCCTCCCTCCCTCCCTCCCTCCCTCCCTCACTCCCTCCCTCCCTTCCTCCCTCCCTCCCTCCCTCCCTCCCTCCCTCCCTCCCTCCCTCCCTCCCTCCCTCCCTCCCTCCCTCCCTCCCTCCCTCCCTCACTCCCTCCCTCCCTCCCTCCCTCCCTCCCTCCCTCCCTCCCTCCCTCCCTCCCTCCCTCCCTCCCTCCCTCCCTCCCTCCCTCCCTCCCTCCCTCCCTCCCTCCCTCCCTCCCTCCCTCCCTCCCTCTCTTCTTCCCTCCCTACCTTCTTCCCTCCCTCCCAGCGTGGGTGACGCACCTCGCCTGTCAGTGGCTCATGGGGCCCAGCAAGGTGGTGGAGATAGAGATGGAGGACGGCCGAAAGCAGCTCTCAGGGGTGAGTGCCTGTGTGTGTGGGTACGGTCACGGGTCTGGGGTGGGGACTCTGGGCACTGGGCAGGGCAGTGGCTCATGGGGCCCAGCACGGTGGTGGAGATAGAGATGGAGGACGGCCGAAAGCAGCTCTCAGGGGTGAGTGCCTGTGTGTGTGGGTACGGTCACCTGTGTGGGCACTGGGCAGGGCAGTGGCTCATGGGAACCAGCACGGTGGTGGCTCGGGGGTGAGTCGCTGAGTGTGTGAGTATGCTCATGGGGCCCAGCACATGCCTGAGTATGGTTAATCTGCTGGTGGTATGCATGCTCACATGCCTGCCAGTGGCTCATGGGGCCCAGCATGGTGGTTGAGATTGACATGGAGGACGGCCGCAAGCAACGCTCGGGAGTGAGTGTGTTGAGTATGGGTATATGGCGCTGGTTGGTGGCACTCTCACTCGCATGCCAGGGCACTGGGCACACCATTGGCTCATGGGGACCAGCACGGTGGTTGAGATTGACATGGAGGACGGCCGCAAGCAACGCTCGGGAGTGAGTCGCTGAGTGTTTGTGGCTCTAGTGGTGTGTTCACCCAGTGAATCCAGTGTGACCCAGCGTGACCCAGCGTGACCCAGCGCGACCCAGCGCGACCCAGCGCGACCCAGTGCGACCCAGCGCGACCCAACGCTACCGAGCACGACCGAGCACGACCAAGTGTGCCCCTCTTCCCCCACTGTCTCTTTTGCCCGCTTTCTCGTTCTTCCCACCACCAGGTGAAGATTGAGAAGTTCCAGGACGAATCCAAGTGTGCGCATCCCCCTCACCTGGTGGTGGGAAGAACGCGCATCCCCCTCAACATCCCTCTGTTGCTCTTTCTTCTTTTCCTCCCGCTTCCTCCCTCTCCTACCAGGTGAAGATAGAGAAGTGCAAGTTCCTGGACGAATCAAAGTGTGCTGGCAGCTGCATTCACACATGCAAGATGCCCACTCAGGTATGTGCATTCACACATGCAAGATGCCCACTCAGGTATGTGCATTCACACATGCAAGATGCCCACTCAGCTATGTGCATTCACACATGCAAGATGCCCACTCAGCTATGTGCATTCACACATGCAAGATGCCCACTCAGCTATGTGCATTCACACATGCAAGATGCCCACTCAGGTATGTGCATTCACACATGCAAGATGCCCACTCAGCTATGTGCATTCACACATGCGGGTATCTGCATGCAGCGCGTGCGTGTGCACTTGCTGTGGTAGGGGAGGGATGTGTCCGTATACCCGTGCATGCACCTATGCTCATGCTGTCGCTCCCGTCGCTCTTGCTGTGCCATCTTCAGGGTACGGGGGGGTGCCACTGCTGATTGATGCAGTCCAGTAAGCAAGTAACTGTGCCTCCTCCTCCCCCTTACACCTTTATCCCCCGTTCATTCTCTCCCCCCCACACTTGCCCCCACTTGCCTCCACTTCCCCCCATCACAGGCGTTTATGTTTCAGGACATGGGTGTGCCGCTGCTCATGGAGCCCAACACACACTGTTCATGCGCCTTCTTCTCCCCCTATCCTTCTCACACCTTTGCCCCCTTTCCCCCAACTTCCCCCCATCACAGGCGTTTATGTTTCAGGACATGGGCGTGCCGCTGCTCATGGAGCCCAATTTCGAGGATTTCAGCTGCGAGGTGAGTGACTCGGGTGATGGGATACTGGGTTGGTGGGAGCAGCTGGTTACATGGTTACCAGGTGACTGGGATACCGGGTGACTAGTCAAGTTGGGGAAGCTGGGTCATGGGAGGACATGGGCGTGCCGCTGCTTATGGAACCCAACTTCGAGGACTTCAGCTGCTAGGTGAGTGACTGCGGTAATCGGGTGGGGTGGGAGGGAGGAACTGGTTACCGGGTTACTGGTTACTGGGTGAACGCTTTAGCTGGCTAGGCTGACATGGGCATGGCGCTGCCGATGGAGCCAATTTTTTAGGACTTCAGCTGCCAGGTGACTGTGGTGACTGGGATCCTGGGTGGGGGGGAGGAGCAGGTTTCCAGGTTACAGGTTGTTGGGTGAGTGCTTTGGTTGGCTGAGCAGGCTGTTCGTGCCGCTGCTCATGGTCTCCTTGTGAGCAATATTTACGAAATCTAAACAAATCTCCCCTACCTCCCCCTTCCCGTTCCCTCTCCTCCTTGCTCACCAGTTCAAGTTAGGCGTGCATGTCCCCCCTTGTGTCACCGACCCTGCACTGCTCACTCCCTCTCTCCCTTGAAACATCACCCTTTGGTTAACTCGTCGAGACTCCCTCCTTTACTGTCCTCCTTCCTGCTTCCCTCTCTCTCCCACCAGTTCAAGTTCGGAGTGCATGCCCCCCTTCGAGACACCGACCCTGTGCTGCTCACGCCCTGCCTTGCCACCTGCCCCATTCGCTTCCCGTCTCGCTCCTACTCCTCCTCCTCCCCCTCCTCCTCCTCCTCCCCCTCCTCCCCCTCCTCTCTCTCTCCTTCCCCCTCCTCTTCCACTTCCTCCTCCCCACTAGTGGACCCTCAGGCTCCACCATGCGCCTAGGTATTAGGTCACAACCCACTTGATTCAAGCTGAAGTATCTCTTGAGGGCTTATTTTATCAGTGTAAATCACCCTGATACCCTGATTATCAGGGTGGTTTTGGGTAGTCACACTGTTGCCTTAGGGTAATTTTTTTGGGAGCTTGATTTTCCCTGATGTGCCAGGGTTTTTGATAGTCACGCTGTCGCCTCAGGGTTGCCGTTCCTCTTAGCGAGTTTTACCCTGAAGCGAGTACCACCCTACCCCTGCGCCCCCCCCCCCCCCCCCCCCCCCCTTCCCCCCTTCCCCTAACTCCCCTACCCCGTAACCCGGGATTCCCGATTGCCAACTGTCGAAACTGAAAATTTTGGCACGACATTACATGTGCTCTGTTAATAACAATTTCAGCAGGGTTTGAAAAAAAATTACACTGATGCCCCATGGTTGAATCTTCTAAACAAGCAGAAACCCTGATGGAAAATGTTTGTCACAAGGGGTCACACTGTATCGGAGATTCTTAGAGTTTCTGTATTGGAGATACGCGAGTCGGCTGCAATGGCCTTTGGTTATGTGTCCGCGAACGTGGAGGTTCAGGGATTCACGAACGCCACGTCAGAATCTTCTGTGATACCCAATCGAACTAGACGAGCGTTGACGCTATCCACGTAGGTCGGAACTGCGTGTCACCTTGAGAGCTCCGTCCCTCGCTTGGTGTGTTTCCAGTTGTCCTTCGTGGGGCTGGTGTGGAACAAATTCGAACACCATCTCGGTGGCGCGCTGGCCGTCCGATCGATCACGAACCTTGGAAGCTGCACACTGTCTCCAGCACTACCATGAAAGAATTCAGCAGTTGGATCTTAGTAAAAACCTATCTGATTACTTAATATTTTCCCCGAGGTTGCTAAGTTCTCGTTTGAACAGCAATAGTTTTTCCCTTCTTGCCCATCTAAATTCAGCAATTCTGATTTCTGCTTGCATCATGCCTCTCATATAAAGACCAGGCAACAAGTAGACATCAAGATTACTTAACCTGTCACACTACTTCCTTCGTGGCCTTAGCTTACCTCGCTTTGAGTGTCTAGGCCCGACTATTTTCATAGATTTATTATCTTCGCAATGGCCGTCTCAATGTGTGCGTCTTCGTTTTGCCAGCTGAAATCCGTGTCGCTGGGAGGCGAGCTGCGAAGCTCTGCGAAGAATGTCACGCTGCGAAGCTTTGCTTCGCGAGACCTGGTGAATCAGGCCATCTCCCTCTCATGCGACTCACGCAGTCTGAATGCAACTCCAGTTTCCCGTTCAAATGTCGTTTCCGTGTCCGCGTCCGCCATTCCTCCTGTAACCGCCGCTTCCGCCGCCGCGGTAACCGCGTTTCAAGGAACGCCAGTGCGTACAACGAGTGTGCTTGTAGTGGGAGCGACGGGGACTCTGGGCCGTCAGATCGTTCGCAAGCTTCTGGACGACGGTTTCGATGTTCGCTGCCTCGTGCGGCCTCGACCACAGCCTGCGGATTTCCTTCGCGACTGGGGTGCTACCGTCGTCAATGTGAGTTCTGTTGCCTAATCAGGGATTGATCATTTGAGTCGACTCAATGTCCGCTGCCACTGTCAATTTCTCGTGATTGGGGTGCTACTGTCGTTGATGTGATTTTTCTTGTTTAAAAAGAGTTCTATTGTCGTCATTACGTGTCTTACTGTCGTTGATGTGAGTTATAAAGTTGTTCATGTATATTTTCCCGCTAATGGATGTTCTATTGTCGTCAATGTGAGCTCTAATTTCGTCAATGTCAGCTCTATTGTCGTCATGCCAGCTATTTACCCGTCAGTATCAGCTCAATTCCCGTCGATGTCAGCTCTATTGCCGTCCATGTCAGCTCCATTGCCGTCAGAGTCAGCTCTATTCCCGTCCATGTCAGCTCTATTTTCGTCAATGCCAACTCCGTTGTTCCCTCGCCATTGTAACACAACAGGGCGACCTCACCCGCCCAGAGACCCTCCCAGCAGCGCTGGTCGGCGGGCACACGGTCATCGACTGCGCGACGGGCCGTCCCGAGGAGCCCATTCGTACGGGAAATCCATTCCCTTCCTCCGCTTTCTTTCCCTCTCTTCCTCATCAGGGCGACCTCACACGCCCAGAGACCCTCCCAGCGGCGCTGGTCGGCGTGCACACCGTCATCGACTGCGCGACCGGCCGTCCCGAGGAGCCCATTCGAACCGTCGACTGGGACGGCAAGGTGGCGCTGATTCAGTCGGCGCAGGCGATGGGCGTGCAGCGGTACCTCTTCTTCTCCATTCACGAGTCGGAGCAGCATCCTGAGGTGCCGCTGATGGAGATCAAGAAGTGCACGGAGAAGCTGCTGGAGCAGAGCACGCTCAATTACACCACCATCCGTCTCTGCGGCTTCATGCAGGTGGGCAATGAAACGTGCGGCTGTTGATGCATCTAGAGGTGCGTCCGTGGGTTGGTGCGTGGGTGGACTGGGACCCCGAGGTGCCGCTGATGGAGAGGAAGTGCACGAAGAAGCTTCTGGAGCAGAGCACGCTCAACTACACCACCATCCGGCTGTGCGGCTTCATGCAGGTAGGCGATGCAGGTTACATCCCTGGTTGCATGGCTGTGCAACCCAAGGAATTAACGCACTTTTCGGCCTGTAACGCAGTCATGCAGGCACAGAACTGAGTGTCTAAGCAAGAACCTGGGTTTCATCTTTATGTTCATGCGGATCTATGGCTGAAACGCTTTTGCTTACGCCTCACTCGTATGTCTTGCACGGGCGGTGAAACATACCTCACGCGCATCCCTTTTTGTGCAGACCCTTATTGGCCAACACGCCATACCCTCTTGAGGATAAGTCAGTGAACGCTGCCACAACAGGGCACGGGCCAACACGCGCGTTGCACACATTGTTCAGCTGGGTTAAAATTTCCCCTCTGTTTCTTTCCATCCAATCTTCAGGCCCTGATCGGCCAATACGCCGTGCCAATTCTCGAGGAGCAATCCGTGTGGGGAACAGATGCGACGACGCGCATCGCCTACATTGACTCGCAGGACGTGGCTCGCATGACCATGGCTGCCCTGAGGAACGAGAAGACCTACCGCAAGACCATCACGCTGGCTGGACCCAGGGCATGGACCACCCAGGAGGTGAGATTGGGGGAAAGGCAAGGAAACTAAAGAGGACAGAGGGAGCCAGACAGTGAGCACTGCAAGCACTGACTCGCAGGACGTGGCTCGCATGACCATGGCTGCCCTGAGGAATGAGAAGACCTACCACAAGACTATCACCCTTACTGGACCCAGGGCATGGACCACCCAGGAGGTGAGACAGAGGGGAAGACAAGGGGAAACCCAGACAACGGAGAGAGAGCAGAGAAATCAAACAGAGAGCAGTGAGGGGCACTGACCCGTAGGACGGCGGGAGTACATGAGTAAGGCTGAGTGCAGACAATGCCCGCTGTGGGTAAGGCCTCTGTGGAATCCCACAGCCTTGTGCGTGACCACTGCACGATTCTAGCGTCTCTCCCACCCTAGTTAAAGCTGAATCCATCGTCCCATGCGCCCATTTCTGTTCTGGCAG